TAATTTAATGTTACATTATTTAAACAAGTATTAGGCTCGAATAAGTTGGTGAAGGCTCCCGCGCTGTGGTTCCGAGAACCCGTTACAGTGGCACCCGGTTCGAATAACGTCTGTGTAATGAGCTACTGCGCGAATAACTAGGTACGGCTAGCAGCAAATGTTAAATTATAAAAGTCGCACAAATTGATATTTCGATATTAAAACATCGTTAGTCTATAAGTTACTGTATTACTTTAATTATTGTACAGTAGCTGAAAAGAACATGAAAAGTCTTACATATATTTTTTTAATTGCGATAGGAATTTGAGTCTACGACCACAACTTCGACTTCATCTTGTCAAAATTTGATTACAGCTCAGATGGTAGAGCACGCAATGATACGCTGTGGTCGCGGGTTCGAGTCAAGCCGCGTCGTACATTTTACAACAATAAAAATAAATTTACTTAAGCTCCTAGCATGTTAGAATTGTGTAAAGAAGAAATTTTATAAATAGTTAACATATTGTCTTAGTTTTCCTGTATATCTCAAAAATTTTATGTTTTCTAACCATAAGACCAGTGCGGGGAGAAATTGCAAAAATAATTTGCAGAATTCAAGACGCAATACGCATTAAAAAAGTACTAAATCTACATCTTAGTATTTTCAGAACATGAGTCATCAAAAAATGTTTCAATCAATCAGTCAAAAAATTATGTATTCGTTCTTATATTCAATAACGATTCATAATTTAAGCTTAAGATCAGTTCAAATCAACTTTAATACTAATTACTAAATAACTGTTTTGTAGACTGTATTTTACCGTACTGTAGTTGTGAATTTTTGTTCGATATTAATTTTCAACTCAAAAATAAAGTATTATAAGCACACATACTTTGTAGCAATTTACTTTATCATTCATTTTCGATATTAATTAAAAGAATAATTATAATTCTCGATAAAGTTGTGAATAGCTTTACGAAAACATGACAATTAGACACTAAACTCGCTACATATTTTTTTTATAAAACCTTATTAACAATAATACTCAAGCAAGGTATATGCGCATAACATAAACGCATATGCGTGCGCAAAATAACTCCTCGTGTGCAAGCGCCCTTAATGCAAGACGAGTACTTTACATGCGGTCCGCTCCTCAGCTGCGTGCAGTTTTTACGATAACACGAAGGTCGTTTACTATTGGCCACGGTGCGCGGAATTTTTAACGGAATAAACTAGTTAAAATTATATAGAGGCGGTTGTGTGCTATTCTGAATATTAGCTGAATTAAACCAATATTACAATTGCAAAAATTTTAAGATGATAACGTTTCTGATGCCCATGCTTCTCCGTTCTCGTTCGTGTGTTTAAAAAAATACTAATTATTACAAAGGTACCTTTGTAACTTATATTTTTTTAGGTATAGGTTACCTATATCTAAATAATTTGTATATAGATATACTGTACGTAATGTAATAATAAAGGTAGAATTTTTTTTTTGTGTAATACTCGAGTAAAGTTTATGAGTTAAATTAGATACTGGTTTAATGAATACAATTTTGTAAGCAGTTAATCATAGTAAAATCGGACCTTTAGATAAACTGATTCTAGGTCACGCATACCGGTGTCAAGTACAGATTCTAAATTTCTGCTGCGCTTTTAACAAACCGGTTGCTAAAATATATATACCTAAGCATATATATTTCATATTTTCGTTTATGTTAAATTACTGTGCAGTAATAACTACATCTTTTCCATTGCTCTTTTTCGTTTAAGCGCGGCATTTTCAGAAAAAATCCATCAATAAGGCTTTAGTAAAATATGCGAAAGCCGACGGTTTAAAACCCCGGTAGAATACGGTGACTTTTTAAGGCAGTCTTAATACTAGCTAGCGTACTACATTTACACACATTTTTAAGCCAAAAATCTACAAGGACATCAAACAAAGATCGTAGGTCAATTTTATTATCACGAAGTTACTCGCGTTAATCTAGAACAAAAGTGTAAATGGGAAACGGCCATGCTATCACGTGATGCATGAAAACAAGGGTCCTTTAGTCTTTACGATGTAATCTCTAAAGCTCCGCCGCTATTATGCGATCCTGGTATTTAATTCTAAGAAATACAGCTACCAGGATGGTGTTGCGGGTATTAGAAACTGGGTCAAGAAATATCGGTGCTGTTTTCAATTCTTCGAAAAATAGAAATCAAAATACAATTTAATACAGCCGTAGGAAACTGTTCTATAGATAGATCTATTGTTCCGATGGATTAGAAAAGAGTTGCCACTTTTTTATAATTTTTTTGTTATTCGAACAGAAGTAACGAAACGCGAATGTATAATTTGTTAGTACAGTTTTTGGTGATTTATTATTGGTATTTAACCTTAACTCTTTACATTGTTACTTTGGTAATAGATCTTAAAACTAAATATAAAATATATTAGTTTCGGATGCTTTCCCCGGGTCACGGGGATCCCGGGACAACGGCAGCTGCAAAGCATCGAGCAAGCAAGAAGCGTCGGGCCGTAGTTAAACTAAATTAAAACTAACTTAAAAATTGTTTTATTTGAATACTGGATATTTCTTAACTCTTCTACAGTCCAACTTAGTTATTTTAATTTGAAAAAATGTGCATTAAATATAATCTGTAGTTTATGCGAGTGGAATGAACAAAATGAAACACTTTTGACGGCTTAGACCGCGAAAGATATCATCCACAACATTAAATTAAATATACAATTTATCATATCATTGTCTTTCGGGCTGTTCGGCCGATGTGAGCGAGAAGAGATTCTCGACATTTCGCCATCACGTGTGGACGGCATCATCAGGAGATGTTAACTCCTCGATTGCTCGAAGAATTATGATTAATAATAAATATAAAGACAATGTAATGCTGAACGATGGCCATGAAAGCTTTACACAATTTATTATACTATTTATGTAACGTGATTCTTCACCAATTGTTTGATAGGAAAAAATACGAATTCGCATTCTAAAAAAAAAGACCTAAATTGACAGCACATTTGGCTATAGTCGGTAAACAAAATGTAAAAAATCAATAGAACGCAAATCGTGATATTGACAGAGATGTATATAGGAGGGGCCTAGGGCAGCCATCTATTCATTGTGCGGGTCAGTATTGGTAGGGTTCTGTAGTGCGTTCTTTTCACTTCTTTTTCATAACTATTAATAATTATAAATGAACTGCAGAATTTATTTAAAGTAAGAGAAGAACTCTATCTTTGCTATTTCATGTTTAAAATATTAATATCCAAATGATTATTTATTTAAATAGCCGCTATTATTATCTACTTCTTAAATGATGTTGACACAAGATATGTAGATAGATTACTAAAGGTATCTAAGTAATAGTATTTAAGGTTATTCTTTCTAGTTTTCTAAGAAAAATTCTAAATTATATTTTGTTTTTTATCTAGTCAGAATTATAAATAGACAAGTTTCGTTGTTTTATCGGTAATGATTTTACTTGTTAACTATTAAAATTGGAAGCTCTGTTCGAAATTGAAAAGTGAACAGCGGAACCCTAACGCGTACTAATTTCACGATCTCCCCGTTTTGAAAAAGCGTTTCGCTGGGAGCACGGCTACGCCCCTGTTTGCACAATACATTTCAATGAACACCATTGTTTACCGGTCTATCTCCATTCTGCCTAGAAGTAGGTTATTAGAGTTTTTAATCGCCTCTTAATTACAATAATATTCATAACCACCCCCCGGCTTACGCGCTACGTGGATTATTGCCGCGTGTTCTGCCGGAGCACGGCGGGAAATTCTGTGTTAATAATAAATTACAAGTCTGTATTGAGATGTTATGAGGTGCCGGGTTCGAGTCTTGCGTAGGACTCGTTAATTGGGTATTTCTATTTTTTTTCCAAAAATAACAAGGCCGAAGTTTGGAAGTAGCAGATGTCGTCAACCAATTTATTGACAGTAGTCCCTTAAGTCCGACAAAACGAACTGGAACAGCGTGGTGGGCCTTTGCTCTTTATCCCTTACACCTTTGCGAGAGTATAGATGCAAAAGTTCTTTTAAAGTTACTTACTCACTCCGCTGGCGCAGTAACCCAAAGTGAGTCTTGGCCTTCAAAACAAAAGAGCAAAGATAGCGATACCTAAATTTTTAAATTCTATTTAGACCACGAAATCCTTAATTTTTCCTGTCTCGTAGTGTTCTACCTAAGTAGAAATTTGCAAAAATACTTAGTAGTCTATTTTACCTATTATTCTAACTAGCCTTTGTTCCGACTTGACCCATATATTTTTATTTAAGTTTTTATTCCCCACATAGGTATGTGTTTTGTTCAGGAATCTCTATAGAAAGTCTGGTTAATTCTGTGTTTTATAATATGTATTATACAACAGAAGGCCGAGTTGTATTGTCACTTTTTCTACTGGTCCTATAAAAAGGGTAACAAACGCAGTAACTCAAATATTATGCTGTACACAACCGATTGTGGACGTATGTTTAGATTTAAAATGTGTGTGTTTTTTATACATTATCTGTGAAACATTTTTTTATTCACTCGTCGTAAAATCTACTATATTTAATCTTTGTAAAATCTGTAGACGTGGATTTGGCCAAGTCGAAAAAATAGGACATTTATTTTGGCAACATTGGCTATTAATTTATTGGCTATAATAAATTATATTACTCATTGTGCACTATCGCTATTTTACTATCTATTAATCAATTGTTCATGAAAATTATGTGAGGTCCTGCTTTTTTTTTTGGGATTTAACTGTCTTCTCTATTAATTTTGTAACAAGTTGTTGAGCGTAAAAGTGGTAAAATTATAATATTACGTTGTAACTACCACAATCATTACAATCACTTTTAATAAAATATACCTAGCAATTAAATGTATCATCATTAACTGCTATTTTAGAAAAAAGCATTCGTAGCACTAAAAACAATAACCCAAGAGAAATGGGGTCAATGAACTAAGTTGTCAAGTGCAATTATTGAAACCAAAGACATAGTGTTTGACGTGAATCCAAGATGGCGGCTAAACGTAAGGCTGGGGCGCTTCTGCAACATGTTCTGCCAAAGGTAAATTTGATCTATTTTATTTGTATTTAGCTCAAATGTCGCAGAGTTTTTAAGGTCTAAGTAAATAAGTTAACTTAATTTTAACGGTATGTTTAAAACCATATGCTATTGCCGTAGACAATAATGCGCTGTTCTACAAAGAAAGAAAAAATACTACCCTGTCTCGAAAAAAATAAAATTAAAAAAAAGTCTATAAAATATGTACCAAATAAGTTGCACTAGTGAAAAGGTATGAGGTTAAACTGTTCTCCCATTAAATCAATAATTAATTAATAAATGATAAAACTCTTTTTATATCAGGTCTCATTGCTAATTTCTCAGTATCAAAAGAAATGACGACAACAATGCCTTTTCCTTATTCAAGGCCAGGACAATGGTCATCTATTATTACCAGGCATCAAGAAATACAGCAAAAGTCTACATTTAGAAATTTACAGCGCTGTAATCCTACCTATTAAGCTAGCGGGTTAATTAAAGCGAGAGAAAGATATTAAAATGCCAATTTGGTGGGGTAGCCTGCTTGCAATGTGTCGCTAGTGTGACTAGGTTTAAGGCAATTCTGCTATACATTTTTAAGGAGAATAGCTTTTGTTTATGGCGAAAAATATGTACCTACTACGTCTGTATGTCGCATACAAAAATGCAGAAAAAATGAGAACAAGTAACTAAAAGTATTTTTAATGGATTTAAAGAATTTCTTAAAAAATGTCTGCAAAGAACATCAAGATTTCTTAGCCTCTGAATTGGGAACACTAGACTGAGCAGACGCTTCGAAATTGGCGCCAAAGTCAGTTTTCCCGCCGCGGGCGGTTCGGTTTGCAAAATGCCGGAGTTTCAAATGACAGAGATACAGTGGATAAGGTTTCTTTACCGTTGTAATTTATTTGTGGACACTTTTATATAATAACACTGCGGAGTCTTAATTTCTTTACAACTAATGTTATATGGTTTTGCTCTGTTATTTTTAACGCGCTACAAATAGAACTTAAATGACTTTTTTTTATACATTAAACACATGTCTTAGATTAAAGAAAAAAGAAGAGGTAGGCGGGCCTCGAACCCATAACGTTGCTTTATGAATTGAGCTACATCCAGCATAAACGTTGAGTTTTCACAATACCAAAATACCTATCGACCATTTTAACCGGGTGATTTAAAAATAGTACACGGAGCCCATGAAATATAGACGTATAAAAAGTTAGAGTAGTATTAATGAATGTTACCTCAACAAATAAATGAACAAAAAAAGATCGTAGCCACGGTAACTGTCGTCGAGTGACCATTGAGGCGCCGGTCGACCTTGCACGCGAGTACTAGCCCTAAGCTATATCTAGTTGTTTATGTACTTATGTAATCCTGGCCACTCGCTCTTGCTGTACTAAGGTTAAAATTGCTACGTCTAACCTACTGTGCTAAAATAATTAAATCATCATATGTGTTCTTTGTTATATTATTTGGGATATGCGTATTTGGTAAACCTTGTATATTTTCGTCTATGTTATAATATTAAGGAAGTTTGATTAAGTGCGTGGTACTTACTGGAAGATCGCGATCCCTAATTAATGATTGTTATCAAATACAGACTATATACAATGTACTACGTTATACAGGGCGTACACTATATGTGTATAAACCGCTGTCTATTTGAAAGTGTTGTTAGATGCTTGCCGTTTTGAATTCGCGATGGAGGCCTGACACCGCACCGCGACATTTTAATGGGCTGGTAGGGCTGGAGCCACAGTAGATAAATAATATACAGTCGCACAATAGGTTATTGCTCAACAAAATGCCTCCCTAAAATAATTGCCACTAATATATACACATATACAACTCTTTTAATTGTGTCTTTATAAAGAATAAATAGTTCCTCGCTTCTTCGTTCCTTCATTCTTAGTGAGTGTTAGTAAAGGTAATGGTGTAAAGGTGTTATTCAGTTTTTTAAAATGCCCTGAACTGTTTATTAAGGTCAAGGAGGGTATAATACGGTTTAATACGGTTGCGCAACTATTGGTACATGGTACATAGACTGTGCTAGTCTCGGCTCAGTTCGCAGTAACCTTTACAAGTTTATCACACTTCAAAGAGCGTAGCGGGTGGGTGGAAGGAGGCCCCTAACTGATGCTTTGAGAAATTCGCCTAGCAAGCTTCGTGAGGTAGTTCTTAGACGTTCTGGGTAAAGGGTATTGTACATTTTGTGGTTTTCAACTCCCATTTTGATTACGCAAGCATCTTGACAGCGTCATTGCAAACATTTCTGTAGATTTTTACTGATAAGATAGAGAGTAAGTATTGTACACGCATTAAATGCATCATTGGTGACAAACAAAACGTTCAAACGGTTTTTTTAACGCGTCCAAGCGACTGAAATAGTAAAGACAAGATAAAATAACCACAAAAATAAATAAGAAACAATTTGCTCAGTGTGCATGCTGCTTTATCGTAGACCGCGAGATTTCAAGGCAAGTAGCTGTATTCCTTACCCGTGAGCTATTAATTCGTAACGAATCCATTCACTGTTTACTAATATTATACGTTACATCTTTGGATATTATATAGTACCTAAATTGAGAACCAGAATTATCCTGATAGAACCTTTACTTTGATTGGTTTGAGAACGTCCAGAAATCCCGTGACTAAAAGCAGAACGCGAATTTACAATTCACGGTTATTCCATCTGTGGACGGACACAATCGGAAATATGATATTCCTCCTACAATTACCACTATGTATATTAGAACCTCATTCCTCAATGATGTTTATTGAACTAGTAAAAGATTAACAAACAGTGGGTCGCGAACCCCGTCCCATTATTAGGGATGAATTGCTACCATTTTACCAACGAGCCATGAGCCAATCACGATATGCTGCCTGATTATTCTGATCTTGAAGATGTGCGTGGAAATCGCATAGCAACAGCATTATCGTCAATTCTAACTGGGCCGTGGCTTACTCGTTAAATTAACTTGGTTTTGTGCACGTCCACCGCTCCCATTGTTTTATTTGCCTATTAAGATACTTGATGACATTCAAAATAATCGTTTTATAGCACGTGCGCGTGATTAAGTGTGAATTAGTAGGTTAGATTAGTTGGCTATTAAATTAAAAATGATTTTTGCAATAAAATGTTTCATAATTAGAGTTTGATTTTAATAGGGCAATCTTATTGAGGCAATTGGCTAGTAGAGGTTTTTAAAGATATATATTTTATAGTTTATATGTGATTATATATATTTATGTCTTGTTCTCTTCCCTTCTCTAATGCTTAGTTAGTTAGTGTCATCGATAGAAGTTTCACAGGGCGAGGTGGCTGGACTGGCCAATGGCCTGAATTTTTACTTGAACCACATTGCAGTTGTCATCACGCGCCGATGACAGCAGCGTCCGGCCCGGTAAATCAATGCTGCTATGTACACAAGTCATCGGCTATATACCTATGTGATCCTGATACATAGGCAACGTTTGTACGGTTATATACGTACGTAGATAATCTCGTCATAGCTCGCACCCCGTTATGGTATTACCGTGTGTGGGCGGGGTGTTACGAAGGGGGCCAAAGGGGGGCTAGGGGGGCCTAGACCCGCGTATGCCGCAGGGGGGGCGCTGTCCGCTTTAAAAATACTAGGGCGAAACTACCGAGCGCCGAGCCAGCAGTTAAAGGAAGCCGTTTATTTTGAAAGGCCGTGAAGATTCCGACCCGCTTCTGCACTCCTGGTCGAGACGGGTAAAAAGTTTTAAAATAGCGAATAAAAAAGCAGAGCGGCGTTCTCTGCTATTAGCGGACCGCTTACGGAAATGTTTTTCGGCTCGAAACTCTTTAGTCCGCATGAAACTTATTTTTCGACCCTACAAATGTTTCGCGATCTCTCAAAAAGTTTAATTTGCAGACTTTGCTATGTAATCAGAACTGGTGCGTGATTTTTCACATTGAAGTTAAAAATGAAAATATTCAACTTGCTTGTTTGCTAAGAAACATTTTTATCCATAATGCCGCTATCAGATATCTATCAAATAGGTCTCAACGTAAGTTTAAGTGAAAGACAAGGATAAGAAATGTTTTCATAACTAAATCAGTGACAAAAGAGAGTTGTGACAACGTCCGATTGTTCATCGATAGTTTCGATCGAACAGCGATGAAATTTAAATGTATTTTGTTCGTATTTTCATAATTGGGCGCAGGCGGGTGACGGGTGGCACCGCGGGCGTCATCGCCCCTCCGCGTGGGTATTTAATGATTATACGCTGACTGCCACCTGATTGCCGCTACAACTGTGATTACACTTATCGATAAAACTAATTGATGTGGGAATTGTTTTGTGATTTATGATATTCTAACAACTAATTACTCGCGTACGATATTAACTCATTACGAACATAAAGTATATTACTTTTTCGTGTTGACTTTATATCTTAGTTGAGGGTAACATTTTAGATTAAATTGATGAATTTATAGAGCATTTATATACATACTTAGCGAACTAGCAACGCTTAGTTCGAAATTATACTCAATAGTATTCAGATTGTATTGTTTAACTGACAAAAGAAAAACCTACATTCTAATAATAAAGAAAATAAATAAACACCTATAATAATCCTTTTAAGACTTATTTATACATGACACATGTTAGTAATTTCAAAATAAAGCTACATATTACTAATCAGGTAGACAAAACGTTCTATATTAACCTTTATAAACTATCGATATTCGATAAACTGTTGTATCGATAAGTAACAACGCAGCATGATTCGCGGGGTGGCAAGCACTATAACGCGGGCTCGCGAGGGGGGTATGGAGGTACATAAGGCCATGTATCAGCGGTAGTACATAGGTGGTACCCGAAATTTTCCAGTTTTGTATTGAAAACTAGGTTATTTCACAATTTATTCCCTATCGACATATAGCCTAGGTCCACGTTTATTTGCAGCCTTCAAACGCTATTTTCAACGTGATTAATCACTGTAATGCATTTTAATGGACACTGTTTAATTTCACTTTATTTACTGCATAGTTCAGCTGAAATATTTCGCTGAATCTGCGATAGTCTGTCAGTCAGTCTTCACACTATCTTTAGGAGGTTTCTTTATCTTTTAATCGTAATGTAAGTAAACCAGAAAGACCATTTTCTTGGCGATGCCAAAAAAGAAATCGGAGAACCAACTAATTGAATGACTTTACGACACACTTTATAACTGAAGAAGGCCGTAGCCGAGAGAACAATTTGACATCCTGAGACTTCTAACAAAGGGAAATGATAGATATGCCTCATACATCCATATATGGCACATACCTCAATCTGCGTCTCAAGCAATTATGTCGTATGTATGTATGTACTAATATGTACACACGCACCACTGCACCTTATCTGTCATTGAGGTGTAATTAATTACCGACTGAATTGCAATAGTTGTACTAGGAGTACATAAGGCGGGAAGGGTCAACGGATACTTAGTCCGCATAGCAGATGCAGTCCTTGGCCGCCGCCCTAAGACGGTCGATATCGCCCCACCTAACTCATATGCACCTGGTACTTGTGACATCAAGAACTAAAATTATATTTAGGATAATAACGACCTCATATAAAAAATAATCTCAACATGCCTAAGAAAAAACTATTTTTTTATTCTAATGTTCAACAATTTAAGCATACGTTGGTGGTCTTGTGGTATGAACACCCCACATTCATGATATAGGGAGTTCGATCCTAAGATAACTAATATATATAAGGAAAATCAACATCAAATCCCACCAGTAGGAACTATTCAAGGTGAAACATATTACACCGACATACTTTATAAACATTAAAAAACACTTTTGTTAAATATACGAAAGATAATTCTCAACGTAGCTCTGCCCAATAGCCCGTAGTAATTCAGTCGATATTGCCCACTTGTTGAATGAAATCTTTGTGTGTTTTCGTAAGTCGAACTGAAAATCGTGGGCCGATAAAATGCTGCTGCATTGTAAATGTGTTGAATTTTATGAATTTCTTTCACGTCGCAGATTATTAGCTGGATTATGAATTATAACAAAAATAACGATCTTGAAAATACAACAATAAAGTTATCGGTTATTAGGTTATTGGGGTATTGATAAAATGTGCGCGAAATCTCATCCTCATACTGTACGAACACTTGTGTGTGCTCTTGTCACTGTAATTTTAATAAAGCAGAGGATTTTAGAATCAAAACATTTTGATAAACAAACGATTTGATATTTGATTAAAAGCATCATTTTAGTACTTCGATCCCAATAGGCACGTTTGCACAGAATACACGCGTGACCATAAAATATGAAGAAAACCCTTCGTCTCGTTTAAATCTCTTATTATGTTATGATACTCTGTTTCTATTTGACCTTTAGTTGGGGAAACATGTCTGTCTTATCTTTTCATAAGTTTTCTCTCACATTTCTTTCGTAGTCCGACCATAATAAAAATATATGAATCTTTTTACAAGTTCGTTCATAACAAAAGTATACTATAACGAAGTATCTATTTGCTTATGAGTAAAGCAAAATATTCAATGTATATATGTAATGAATATATGTTATTAATTAATTTATAGGACTTTTATACTTAATACCTTTTTCAGACAGTTTTCCACCTATGTGTGAATAAGCTATTTGCGAAAAATCGACTCTTAAAATGATTACATAGTGTTATCATAACGATTAAGATGTGCCTCATGCATTAAGTTCATTAATGTCTATTCATACAGTCGGGTAAAAGATGCATCTGAATGCATCTAGAAAGAATTGCACAGCTGCCTAACCGGTTGCCATTCGGTAGCGATACCAAGAATAACTTCCTTTCTCGACAATAAGTCATTTCTTATTGTAAAAACTGTCTCAATTGCTGGAGTAATAACATTTAATTATTTAAACAAAACCCATGTTTCTTGGCATTTCGCAAATTATGGGGCTCTCTTTTTAATGTCCAAAATGTGTTTAAATTAAAATATAAATCTATATACCAAGTCAAGATATGTTCCGAAAATGACATCTTTTTTATGAAACCTAATATTTACCTTATCTATACTAATATTGCAAAGCTGAAGAGTTCGTGCGTATGTTTATTTGAACACGCTAACTTTAGAAGTACTTTTTCGGTAAATACTTTTGAAAGTATTTCTTGAGTTGAGAAAAAAAAGGATAATGTGGAACAAACGGAAGGAATTATTCATCTTTGAGTTTCCGTTGACGGTCCTAGATACTAAAAAAAAATACGTACAAGAGGATAAATCCTATTTAAATGATCTTTATTTGTCTGTTTTTTTAAGATTAATTGAACGAACTTAACTGCAAGAACGACGGGACGCGACTTACGTGGCGAATGGGTATGGGTAACAGCCAAAATTTGTAAAGATTCCCAAAATATTCTACGCGGACGAGGACGTTTGTGGTATATACTACAATTATTGCATTTTCGAAGGTCTAACCCAGGCTTTCGGGGATACAGAATGTTCACTGAAGCCTTCAGTCATAATATGTCCGTTACTTTTCACACGTTCGTAAGTAATACTGACATAAATATCACCGCCCGTTACTCACCACTTTGCGATGCTAGTCTCTAATATTATATTTTTAAGATTCGTGGTTTCGGGGCGTTCGTGATTTTTCTTTCTCAAGATTTGTCCATTCTTCTATAGAGATATTTCGGCCCCATTTTCATAAATGGTTCCAATTCAACATTAACCTGCCCCAAACCGACTGCTATAACAGGAGCCCAGGACGTGGGTAGGGTTATATTTAGTGTCTGCCCATTTGTAGGACTATCGATTTGTGTTCAGGTCGGAGCGATGACCGGAACCGGGGACCGTTTCGCTAATTATTTACCCCCTAGTACATCACTACCTTAACTATTCATATGAAGAGTGATGGTTGGTAGTGCTGAAATTACGGTAAACAAATGGCATATAACTTTGGCAGGACTCTTGACATTTCACTGTAGTTAAGACTACCCTGTTTGCGCAAGCGACTTTAATGTATGAAAACTAAAATTTATCATACATGTATCATACAATAATATACATTACTTATTTCAAAACCTAACTTAATTTTATATAATTTACACAAGATGCTGAAGATGATACTTGTTAAAATTATTTTTATCGAAGAATATTAGTAGGACCAGTATTCGTACTTATTACAAATTGATATACTTTTTAACACAACTGACTGTTTACTTGAAAAAAAAACTACTTTACAATTAGGATTGGTTGGTACGGTTCCTAAAATTCTCACTTACCTCTTTTTTTATAGAAACACAGATATGTATAACATTCAAATTTCTTAGAAAAAGATAATCTTTAGTGTTTTCCACAGATAATTAAACATTGTTAATATTTATTATATTTACATTGTGCAAGAAAAATAAACGTTTTGTTTCACTGTGGTATATCTGCTAAAGAAGAATACCATTATTAATATTTGAATAATAATAACGTTTCTTAAAGCTCAAATACTTGCCTCTTTTTATATATTAAAGCAAATCTATTGAGCTTTATTTATTGTAGACATTCACAGATTCTGATGCATAAAATACATGGTCACAGTAGATATGAGTTCAATCTCTTTATTTGATGAATCAATCTTCTAACTTCTTTAATTTTGTTACAGGACAATTTGACTCCAGAACCCAATGACATGAATGACGAAGATAACTTTTCAAGTGAGTATATAAGTTTATAATTATAGATTAATATATTGTCTGCATGTTACACAGCTCTGTAGAAAAAAAAGTATAGACTATAAAGACACAGAAGTCTATAATAATTAAGTAGCTTGCAAAAGGACTCTAAAAGTTTAAATAATGTGACCATGTTTTTGTAAGTTTAGTTGGTTACGTACGATATTAATATCGGTATCGCGAGCATGACAACTTGCAAAGTGAAAAGCATTAACGAATATCGTTTTCCATCTAAGTCGAATTGGGATTTTAAATGATTCTCAACAAATTTTTTGCGAATGATTAACAAAGCGTCTTAGATGTTAAAGTTATTCAACACCCAAGTAGAAACTTTTGCCAAACTCATGGTTGACACCTACAAATAGATAAGCTGAGCGATGTGTTTATCAAGTTTTGTAATCTCAGCCACTTGCATCAAATCAATTGAGTATTTTATGAGAAACACTATTTTCCCTCTCATAAAATACTGGCAACCGAATTGGCTTTAATTTTGTTTGATGGTCGACGAATGTGTTGTTCTTTTTTCAAAATTCAAATTTGATTTGGGAATATGATCTGGTGCAGGTCAAGGCTACGCGAAAGATGCGGAGAAGTTGAAAATGATGTTGCTAGCTTGGAATTACAACACTCAGACAGGTAATGCCTAATTTATGAATCTTGTACATTTTTTTATATATAGAGTTCATAATATGTAATTAGAAGAAACGACGTTAGATATAAAAGTCTATTTTACACTTAATTACAGATAAAAAATATTTTGAATCTATCAATGGTTTAATTTCCAAAAAAAATTCACTTATGACCAAGCTTAGGTGGAGTTCTCCAGAGTAGAAACATCTTTTAGAACGTTCATGTTAAACTAAACACACTTACTAACTAGCCTACGGTTTTAAAAATGGCCCTCAATTCGCGATAAAATAGGCGACGCTACTTCAAAATAGGCTTAAACTATGGCTTCACCTCAGTATTTTCTGAGTTAGAATTTTAAATAGCTTTTAGTTTATTCATTGGACATAATTTCCACGACAAAACCGCTCGCTGGCTATTTTTACTGTGCAACGAAGCCATATTGAGAGGGCCGACTCCTAGGGGCGTAGACATGGCGAGGAGGTTCAAATTATTTATAGGCACGGTGCTCGTTCGGGTTGACATTTAGCAAGCAGATGCACCGTCCCCTGAGTACCTACACCATCATTAATTTCTGCCGCCTTAGTAACCGACTGTGAATACATAATGCGGTCTGGATGCGCTCTAACGGTTATCGTTTTGTAAATAAATTTTAGTCAAGTCGCAATGTGCTCCCTTAACTCCCATTTCTTGAGTCCCAATTGCAAATGTTATTTTTCATAAACACTGTATATTCTTCTCACGGTCATTGCGCAAAGGGTTTTCGACGTGATCGGAAGCAAGTTCCTATCCTCTGTTCTCAAAGTGATTAAATTCAAACGACACTTTATATTTCAACATTTTAAACTAACTACAAATAGCGAGCCGTCGCGATCGCTCACTGAAGCAAAATATTTTAACAGGTTTGAGCTCTAGCAACTCCGGATTCTTTAGCTGTCTACATTGGATATGTTAGCTATATGAAACTGTTTAGTTCTATAGCAAATGATACGATGAGTATGTAAACGTTTGTGAAAGAAAATGCTCGTTTTAGGCAACAGACGGACAATATGCGTAAAATACTTCTTTCAGAAGTTTCGCTTTGACAATCAATGCACTTAAAGGAACGATTTCAATACAATTTTTATCAATTACATCACGACATTACATACAGTTTCGATGTCCGTTTTTGGTCTGGGACACTAAGAACCGTGGGTTTACAGACAATATCTGTTAAAAATAACTTTTGTTTAACTTAAAAAAAAGTTTAATCTGTATAGACTTTTAAACGGTTTAAAACGTTAACTATATTTACTATTAATGCTTACCCGTAACGCGGCTAGCCGGTATGTAGAGATAGTAAGTTCTTTAAATATCTTTAACTCCCTGACACAGGTCGGAACGGTGACATATCTGAGACTGGCGCCGACAGCAGCATGGCGGACCTCTGGGCCTCGTACCACAGCGCTTTGGGTCTCGGGAGCAAACCACCAAAACCCCCTACCCCTTTGACAACCGGACACTCGGTGAGTTTTAAGGTTGAGCAACGTTTCATAATTAATAAAGCTTATATTTTCCAATTACAAACAAGTAATTAAGTTTATAAAACCCACCTACATAATTTTTATACAATTGGTAGGATACATTTTTTCTCCCTGTGTTTGATTTTTAAGAATTATGGTAATCAAAAAAATATATATCTCGTGTAACCTGCGCCATTATTAGAATTGTTTGATAAGGAAGACATTCAAATTGATACAGTAGTTTAGGCGCTAGTATAGATAAATATACATGTATTTTTATCCTATAAATTATTCTCGGTTAAATAGGCAGACTGTGATTATCTTGATTCGGCTTAATTCCAGAGTCCTATACATGTTGGGTCCGCGACAAACGTGGAACCTGCGTCCACACACGACGAGACATCTTCCTCAGACAGAACCAAAGACGATGATGACGGCGGAGCGTCTGATGACGATAGCGATGATCGCGTAGATCCACAGCATCATGATCCGGAGCGATTGAAGGCTTTTAATGTACGTTTAATCTTGAATACATACTTGTCAGTTAAATCGGTTTCATATTTTTTTTGAAAAAGAATTAAAAAAGTTTCCAATACGTAACATGGTTGCATGTTACGTATTGAAAACTTTTTCACATGTTATTGCACATGATGGCAATATATAAATTAACCAATTGTTCTAACCAACTGCTGTTAGAGCACAGAAAGGAAGAAATAACAGCACGGAACGCTGTGGATAAAGGTTCAAGTCCTGACCGCGTCGTAAAATGTTTTCAATTTATAATCGATTTTTAAATATTGTATTTCCAGATGTTCGTCCGCCTGTTCGTCGACGAGAACCTCGACAGGATAGTTCCTATCTCGAAGCAGCCCAAGGAGAAGATCCAAGCAATCATAGACTCGTGCACGCGACAGTTCCCCGAGTTCGCTGAACGTGCTCGCAAGAGAATCAGGACGTACTTGAAGAGTTGCAGACGCAATAAGAAGGTTCGCGGAGACGTTCAGCCGACTGGCAATGGAGGAAGCACGCCATCCGGCAACGCTTGGGATACAGCGGTGAGGGTCCGAACTTTGCACGAATTATGCTGTTCTAAATTTGTTAATATTGATTTGAATAAGTCACTTTTAACGGTTTTAAACGCGTATTAGCTAACTTATTTACAATTTATTTTAACTAGCTCGAAGTTACGGATACTTTTAAGTCACTTACATACATTTCGCGTTTAAAACCGTCAAAATGAGGTTTATTTAAATGTGTCGATAATACTCGCGTAAATTATAATACTTAATACCGATATAGCTGTAGTATTGTGTAGCTGTTTCATAATTGTTGCTATATTCGAGCATATAATAAGGCTTATTTTTCATCAAGTAGTATAAAAAACCTTAAATCTTACGTAAAATATGAAAAGGGAAAGTATCTTAGCACCCAAAATACCCCTACAATCACTAAGACCCTAGTGAAGGGTTGCCAGCTATTGACTAGCTGTGTTACCGCTCAGGTGCGTCCGACTCCCGCGCACTTAACGTCTGTACAAGCTGAACATATCTTGGCGCAGGCGTGTGAGAACGAGAGCCTCAACGCGAAACGCATGCGGCTTGGTCTCGATCCTGTCAGTCAGCCGATGCCGACCGTGCCCACTCCAATGGTAAGCATCCTTTTCAACGGTTTAAAACTGCTAACTTAAATTCAATTACCACTCGCGTAAACTACGATAAAAATTTGTCTATTCAATAAAACGAGTACTTTTGCCAGGCCATCGACACAACAGCGACCTCGTCATTCCTGAATCTCTATAGTGGAGCGATTAGCAGCCCAGCATCCACGACAACCACCACGGCCCCGGGTCACAGCAAGGCAGCAGCAGACACCACCAGACCCTCAAACAGCCCTACTATGGAGCCATTGCTCAATAATAACACTTTGAAACTTGATAACGCTAATGGAAATACTGGCAGTAAGACTGCTAGGTACGCTATATGTAATACTATTAACAAATAGGTAATTTTATAAAAATTTGACCCGACGACGAGCCAATTTCCATTTTTTTTTTAATTTAAGCAATGAGTTTAGTTAAATCTTTACATTATGACTTAAAACTAGTTCTAATAAAATGAAAACGGTGAAAAAAAATTATTCAAAGAAATTGAATTTTAAAATCTTATACTCGGTTAAAAACGTTTATTGAGGGTAGATATTGGTAATAACTTAATTTTGTGAAACGAATATTGATGTATGGTCATTATTTTTACAGTCCAGCTTCATCGCCGGCTCCACTGTTCAGACCGACATTTCCATCCACATTTGGTAACCCTCCAACATTCGGGAGACAAAAGTAAGAGAATCTATCATTTGTGCAGTCAGCGTGAAAAGTCTAAGATACTTTACTATCGTTTTTTAGAACTTTGAGAGAATTACTAACTTAATAATCGTACAGAACAAGTTAATAATATTTTTTTTATTTGTTACAGTTCGTCCACAAGTCAATCATCTGCGTTGTCAAATACAGCGTTGCTCTCTACTCTCACGGCTCTGCCACCAACAGGTACATTCTACTGATATTGTCTGTAGTTTGCGCGAGTAGTACACATTTAAATAAAACACATTAAACCGCTAAATTCTTTTATTTAAATAGATTCTACTGTTCCAAGTTTACTTTAAAAAATCTATTTGAATCTTCAGTGTGCTCTTCTTTCTTTTATTAAAATATTTATTCGCACCATTTTACGTTTTACGTGTATTAGTAAATTTGAAATAGACAAATAAGGACACCAAAAACTAATAAAATAACTTTACATTGAAAATGATTTTTAACTTCGGCCCGACGTTTCGGATGCTTTGCAAATAAGTTTAACGAATATATTGCGTTTTAAACCGTTAATGTGTTTTATTTAAATGTGTACTACTCGCGTAAACTATAGACAGTATTTAACTTTACATTATCCGTTTAGAGTTAATACTAGCTATTTAAAAGTTATTCTCTATTTTTTTTTGTTTGACAACTGTATTAGTAAACTTTTTTGTAGTTTACGACAACTGTTAAAATAATATTAATAGCAAATATGCGTCACATTGTCGTGAATAACGTTATCATATTGATTTATAGGTGTTGGTGTCAACGCTGCAATGGCCGCGTATCAAAGCGCGCTGCTCTCTGCAATGGCTGCGCATACGCATACATTCCCAAATATTACTGGTAAATATTTTCAAAAATTAGTTATTTTCACAGATATACCATTAATTAGCGAATGTTAAATATACGTGAACCATATCTCCAATAATATAAACGTCACAAAATCTGTTTTACATTACAGCTCCAACAGACTTGTCACTGAAGACATCGACGACCACTCTTCATTCCACATCTACGCCATCCATCGCCGGATCTAACTCTCAGAAATCTCTCCTGTCTCACAAACTCTCCGGCTCTGAAGTTGGCGCTGTACGACAGCTGATCACAGGTTATCGTGAGTCAGCAGCATTCTTGTTAAGGTCTGCTGATGAACTGGAGACTCTCCTCTTGAACCAGCCATAGGAAACGCAAATGTTGGCGAACCGTTTCGTTTTCCCTTTCTACGTTTGAAATTAATCAATGTCAATTTGACAGCAGTAGAAATTGACGGCTATGACAGTATACCTTTTCGTGTAAACTTCAAATGTGTATTTGTCGCTCGTTTATTCAATGTTTTTAACACTGAGATTCGTCACATATCTTTTAGTTCGGCCAGTGGCCATTTTGACATTCATTTTCTGCCATGTAATGCTGTTGATATCATCATGTACAATTCACATGTAAAAATTTAACAATCCATTAGAATAACTTTCTTTTCATTTCACTTCTACATTTTTGATGTGTGGTTATATCATGCTCTCATCAGCTTTTGTGATCCATTGAAATTAGTCGTTTTGTCAAGACAGCATTAACTTTTACGAGAAAAGTTTTCGATGTCAAAAATCATACCTCAAACAATTATTATAATAAATTCTCGTCCTACTCGTGACCTGAAGCAGGTCTATAATATTTAAGTTGGTAATATTGTAAGGATAGCTACGCTTTTTAAATAATTCAATGCTACCAACATTGCTATTTGATATCTCAAAGTTTTAATCGATTTCATGACTATTACTATGATAGGATTACGAGTTTTTTCAATGACCAGTCCATTCGGCATAGGAGCTGCCATAATAAACAATGTTGCCATTTAAAACTCGTTGGAAGAGTACAAAATTATTTTGTGTATATTTAGATTTAAGAAAAAAATCAGGGAGTTTTTAGTGTAAGGTTATGGAAAATTGGATTTCTTGCCTGGTGCGTTAGATTAGGAATGAAAAACGGCTGATTTATTACCTCCAGTAACGTTTCGATAACACGGCATATTCTAATATAACAGAGTCTAAACAGTTTTTAGAGTAAAGCGGCATTCTAGGTGTAAGGAGCACGAATTTATTTGTTGTTTTGTATTATATTTATAGTTCTCTAGTTATATTTATATCGAGTAATATATTTCCTGTACCGTTTTATTTATATCTCACGACGGTCATGATTGCTCCATCCAAAAATTTTCATTTTTACATCCTAGTGTGGCAACACTTTTATTAATCCTAATGTTTGTGCAGTCGTTCTCACCTAAACATAATGACGTTCATACATTATTGATATTATCTCTAGAACTAAAACAACATATATATTTTATTATCGTTTATATATCTGCTGTTTTAATAGATGTGTTGTTTCGTTTTATTCAGTACTACAAACACTAAAACTACGATTATTATGAGCTTTGTTTTGAATGTTGCCACATGTCTTTGCTCAGTACCTTTGAGTATAATCACCTTGTTACCATAGATATGGCCAGGTACTAGATAAGATTAACGGCTTATGGTGTACAAAATAAGTCCTTTTTTATTTTCGGCCTAATTTCCTTTTACAAGCCAAGTGTCAGTTTAATGCTTAATTATTTTTTTTAATTAAAATTTAGTTTCTTCAGTACATTATGGTAAATAAATTTATTTAAAACGTAAGATTATGGAGGCGATAGCTTAAGATGCCTCATTTATTGATGTGAATTTTATTAATTATTAATAAAAAGTATCTCCTATGGACACTTGCAATGTTGATATAATTTATAAACTACGTTTGGCCAGTTCTCGATAATATAATAAATAGGATAATACTAGTTTTTGTTAAGTTCTAACACATGTACTTAATAGAATAATTCAAATAACAGAACGCTTTCTTATGTTGCTCCTGGTTCAATGGTATACTAGATTTTCATTAATATAGTAGAAAATCTAATACTTTAAAAATATGTTGTCAGTTAACTTAACATGATTCATTTTAAGCATAATTCATATGCTGGAAAGGTCCTTAGTCGTAAGTCAACGTCGGTAAAAGTTAGTGGTGACATCTATCGGCAGCTGAAAGAAGCTTTTAATTTACATTGCTAACACTTATATTAATGAAAATCCAGTTAAACCTCTACAGATAATCGTATAATAGTTTCACACTTTTGCCAGTTTTCACAATAGCTATGACGCTTACAGCCATTTTGAGAAATTGTAAATTCACTTTTGAATATGAAAATTGCCAAAGAAATGAATTGATTCTGATGCTGACCTATTCACGTTCGAATGATCTAAGCAAAGAAACAAAAATATGGTTTATTGATTGATGTTATTGGAAGAAGATTCATTAAAATTGTCTTAAAGATTTCTCGTCCGAGAGTAGGCCGGCCTTAATGTATGTACGTGGAATTGCTTTTTCGTGTATGTTAACATTAAGTAGTTTACGTTAGTCTTAGTTGAGTCATTCCGTTAATTCTCTAAAACTTAATATTCGGTGCATAGAAAAATATGTAGTATTGTAAATTGAATGTAAAAAGTTCTCGATTAGAATATATAAAAAGTTAATAGAATTACGTCTATTGTTGGCTAAATCAAAATCGACAGTAAAAAAGTTGAGAAAATGAATTTGTTAGACATTAAAATATATTATTATTATTAGAGATGTATAAATGGGTTACGATTATAATTAGTTCGAAGTGGAGTGGTGGATTACAAAACAATTGTTACTATTAACGATATGAGAATTTAGTTATAATTTTGCAATTTCAAAATGTGAGTTTTACAATTTTGAAAAGAAAATATTAAATATGCTCATATACTGATGATTTTTTTATTTACGCAACATTTTTAATTATGTTAATTAAATTAATAATTATTATGATTACGTTGTTTAGAAGTGATTAAACTAGAATTACATTACTTAGATATTCATTTAGTACTCCAAATTACTAGTCGTCGGCGATTGTGTAGTGTCGGCCTTGTTTAGTACAAATTTATCTGGATATGCGTAGAAGCGTTGGTCCGCCATTAAGTAGTGGGTGGCGTTTGTGATAAAATCCAAATTAGACCTCGACCCAACGTATGAAAACATTGCTGGGTAACGCTCCGTGCCGCATCTGAAATCGTCACAGATTATCTTAAACTATAAACAATTATACAGTCAGAACCATAGATTATCATAACATATTTTTATTAACGGAATTAACAGCTCTTTAAAAGTTATACAAGCCTTGTATAATTTTTCCTGTTATTTATAATATTGTGATATAAACTTACAGCTTTCTTAAACCCCAAGATGCCATCCCCCACAATATGCCATCACTCACTGCTGGTGCACCTGTATCGCGCTGCAAAATTATATCATTATTGTCTCTGAAGGTTCGAAATATTTCGACAGTGTAACACTTACCGTACAAGGAGCTCTTCTTCCAGTTTGTGCGAGGCAAATAAAGTTATTGGAGACCACAACCCCGAACCGTTGAGTGACATTGTTGCATTTGTTGAAATCTATCAATCGCGCGTGGTAAACTTGCAACGCCATACCTTTGTTCTCAAAAACCCCATCACGCTAATAAGAAGAATGAAGAAGTCCTTTTATTACGCTCACTTCATTTTATTCTCACTCTTTTTTTAATACTTAAGTACTAGAGAGTTAGCACCGACACAGAGATTAATACGCACGTAGGTAGGATAGGTATATGTTTTCTCCCTTTCTTTATAGTTAAAAATGCAATGTGCTTGAGTAGGATAGGCACATAATTTTTCTCTTTCTTCATAGTTAAAAATACTATGACCGTGAGTAGAATAGGTGCGTATTTCCTCTCTTTCTTTTAAGTTAAAAATGATATGAACGTGAAAGAGAAAAAAACGTATCGCTTTCTCTTTTACTGTGAATTAAGAAATTACCCTTTCTGCACCCCAACTGGTGACCCAAGCGTCTTCAAACGCTGGATACATAGCAACATTAGGTAGATCAACTGCGTGTGTTGAATCTGAAAATCTAAAATGTAATTGATAATATTATCATATTGTTTGTTGTAAGTATGAGTAATTCGCCCTTTCATAATTCGTAACATAGTGTAACCTTGGTAGATAGATTACACTATGTTACGGCGTTAGTTTGCGAGGGTGCTTCTGCCGTGTAAAAAAATATCGAGACACAAGCGTATTTTGATAAATAACCAACCTTCCTCAATTAAAATGTCGTAGCTATTATATGTAATATTCCCTATTGTCTCTAAAAGTCATAATCATACTTAATATTTCTATCAAGAAGCAGCAACCCCACGTCATAGTCTGGATTCTTTCTGATGCTCCAGTAAGGATGCTTCATGACTTCTTGTATCCTGGCCACTTGCCCACCTCGGTCTACGTAACGTGAACCAGCTCGTACCTTCATTCTGCTCATTCGGTTAGATCTGAGAGAGAAAACTTATCTAGATAATGAAAATGAACTCAACAGCTTTTGAGTCTGTCTCGAATAAATGAATTAATTGTAATGTAATGTAACTTAATGTAATTTTTGTTTAATAGATATAGATTTAAATTCCTGCAATTAAGACATTGTAATTTATTAAATTATTTTATATTCTTCTTCTTATAGCTGAATCAATGAATTAAAGAATGTATCTTTTACTATCATTAGTTGCATATTTCAGTACATATTCTGTATCTAAAAAAGCCTTTATATCTTACATTTGGTGCAAATGTACAGTAAATAAACGATATAGAATATTAGAAATACTTCAATTCAATTTTATGTATGGAGTAAAAAGAGTATAGAGGATAACTCACTTCCAAATACAGTTAGCCGTGGTTATGACTAATCGAGGATTTAACAATGCGCCCGCGCACCAGTGCTCTCCAGACTTCTGTATGGACACTACGTAGGGATAATCTTCAATCATCGCGTCTTTGCCTGCTATCAGGCGCCTGTTACGAACTTTAAGGGGTATTAAACGATAATACAGTGTAATTTTTTTTATAATTTTTTATTTATTTAGGGCTATGCTCTAATTAAAGCAGCAGCAGAAAGCCTCAAGCGAACAATGGTCTCAAAGATTTTTACAGACACTTCGAAATTTTACGTTACTGTAAGTAAAATTGTATGAAAATTCAAAAGTAATTTATCAAAAATTTTTAAATGGACATCGGCAACCCCTTTTAGTTTGCTAATTTTATTATTAATTCTATTACGCGTCAATTAACGTTTTGGGTTAAAAATTAACAACAACAAAAGAAAGCATACTTCGTCATACATCTATACTAATATATAAAGCTGAAGAGTTTGTTTGTTTGAACGCGCTAATCTCAGGAACTGCGGGTTCTATTGAAAAATTATCTTTTCTTATTCGTTAGAGCATTTATCGAGGAAGGTTATAGGCAATAAAACAACGCCCTGTGACGAATACAAGCGAAGATACTGCGGGAAATGTGAAAAAAACGGGGAAAATGATTCATCTTTGTAGGTATCCGATGCGTACGATGCGTAAAAGGTTCAAGATACACAAAAAATATGTATATGTAAAATTTTCTTTATATTATCAAAAGAAATGTTCGCGACATATATGACTATCTCTTAAGATGAACTCACAAGAATGACGGGAACCGAACGACGGGACGCTACCGATATCGTAGGTAACAGTTTGCAAGAACAATTTTGGATGCCCAAAATAATTATTCTACGCGGACGAAGTCGCTCACTCAGCTAGTTTTATATTTAACTAGTATAACTTTGAAATTTCATAACTCATAGATTCTGTGTTCAGATGATCAGGACTTCAATGGTGCTATTGAAAAAGAATATACTCTTTAAGAAATTTATTGCCTTTCTAAATTATAATTTTACCTTTTCCATTGCGTATTGTTTTATCATCATGAATTATTCTTGTCTTGTTAGCTTTTTGTTTTCTACTTCTCTTCGATTTCTGCTTTCTCAGTTTAGAAGCACGCTCTTTCACAGATCTATCTGGGTTTTGAATTTTTTGTCTATTCTTATTCTCTTTGGTCTCAAAGGCATTCCTGTGATGCCGTATGTTATGCTTATGGGATTTTTTATGAGCTCGGAGTCGTTTACCCCGTTTAATTTTGGAAGTAGATTTCGCTTCTGCATTTACGTTTTTGTTTTTGTCAAATGTTTTATTACTTGCTGATTCTACATCTTCAATGTTATGTTTCTTTCTTCTCGCATCTGCAGTTGCATTAAATTCAATGGACCTCTTTACCATATAATGACCGGCGTACTGTGGTAAAACTTTTTTGACCCTAGGGTTAAGGTCGACATTTTGTTCAGGGTTGAAGTAGGGACTATTAGGCACATTTTGCCTTACAACTGAGATGGGGGCGAAAGCTGTGTACGATTTGTTTTCTATTATCTTGGGTACATTATCAATTTTTCTTACTATATTAAGAAAGTATTTTATCTTGGAAAACTTCCTAGGATTAAATATTTTAACGCCTCTATAGACTTTAGGCAACTTCTTATTACTCTCACCAGAATTATCACAATAGACAAAGACCACGAAAAATATGAGAAATATGAAAATTTCTGTCTTCATGACTGAAATAACTTTTACTAACAGGAATTTTTAAAAGAAATTTTATGTTCATTTTATTGGTTGGTTTTACTATAGTCGTTTTCAATTTAGCGATAAGCTTATGTATTACTAAACTTATTTATTTTCTATTGTTGTTTTAATATATTAGCTGGTATAGAGAACCACAAAATTATTTTTACAAACTAATTTAAATTTGTACGTCGTTAACTTATATTTAATTTTTATTTAAGTACTTATAAAATTATAAAAGTCTTCTATAACTGTAGAAAAATAAAGTAATAACAATGTAATTAAATCTTAACTATTAAACAATTAATCTCTTGGTGCTATTTTTTTAAACGTTGCTAGCTGTAGGCCAAGCTGATGCAAAAGAGTCTTGGCTCCTTGGTTCTGAGACTTGGTGAGACGTACAGCGCGCCCGCATTCACGTATAAAATATTCTAATTCGTTGTCAAGTTGGCCGTCACCTAAAATTACAAGAAGTAAAAATTATCTGGAATATAATTTATATACTTATAATGAGAGGAATGTTGGTTTAATACTTTACGTTACCATATAAACAATGAAGGGTTCGTTTACCTGTCGTGCAAAAGTTATTACAATTCTGCCCGAACTAAAAAACTTGTGGACAACATTTTTATGGGATTTAAAAAATTTTACTATATTTTTAACTTAGGGAGTGTTTTTCAATAACTCACTGATAGAATTTATATCGGAATGTTTGTTTCCTTGTAGAGAAAACCTACTATTTACTATAGTATCTCCATACCTTGAGCCATCTTGTTGCTATTAGGCTGTAAGCATTTGTTCGTGAGACGAGCTAATTGAGACTTCTCTGAGGAAAATGCTTCATCAAGATCGAAAAGCTCCAAAGGCGGCGGAGGTGGCTCACGAAATGTAGGCGCGAATACCTTGAATCAAATACGTACATATTATTGTTTTTTAATATTTTTATCTCGTAAGTTTTACTTCGTTAGAGATAAATTAAAATGAACATACAGCAAGTTGCAATGGCGGGAACGGGGTTTCGAATTGCGGCGCTATCAAACGCAATGGTTCATGTTTGATTCCTAATTCTTCATATAGTCCTAGTACTTCTGGTACTGAAAATAACGCAATATCGAAAGAGATAAAATAACATAGACACCAACCACTCCGCAAACTTAAGTAATAAAATAATATGTCAAACATCAAACAATATTTTTATGCAATAAGCTTCTATATTGCAAACAGTTTTTTGCAACAGTATACTTACAGTGTGATAGGTTGAGAGAAAACAGCCTCCAAGTGAAGAGTGCGTGTGGATGAAGGGGAGTTAATCGTGGTGGTGGCGCGCTGGCAGGTTCCGGAAGCAACAAAGAGCTTAGCCACAAAGTATCTCCCAGGGTCCGGTATTCATTCACCTGGGTTCAGGATTAGGATAAATTCATGATAGGCACATAGGAAATCTTCATGACATCAAAAGAAAAATAAGTTTGTAAAGACTATTTTTATGGGCTCGTGGGTCTGATGTTAGCAATGTATAGTGGTCGCGATTAGTACTCGTGATGGCATGGTTCTATCAATTAAAAAAAAATCTAAAACACGTTGAGCTTCTTCTGGAAATCTAGTTATTAATTGGATGGTAGGAATATCGATATTCCGTGCGGGTCACGAACCTCCGTCCACAGATGAAAAAGCTGCAAAATTGTCAGTTTCAGTCTGTGGATTTCCGAACATCCGATGCTAAAATATTACACATTAATAAAAATCCATGCCTGTCTGTCCTTTGTTTTGTTTTATAGACAAACGCGAAGACACCGTTAGTCTAGAACAGATGGCACTAGCGTAGCCATTTTTTACTTTGACGTCGGAGACATCCTCCATCTTGAGTCTCCCCGTAACCACGGCTGCTGCAAAGCATCCGAAACGTCGGGCCGAAGTTAAAAATCATTTCCAAATAAGTTTAACTAATATATCGCATTTTAAACCGTTAAAGTGTTTTATTTTAATGTGTACTACTCGCGAAAACTATAGACAGTATATATATATATCTCCTGGCTTTAAAGGCATACGGCGAATTGACTAGCGAGTATCCTCTTACATACAACGATTTTTTACGTAGACCATACATGTTTTTTGTACTAAATATCTGTAGTCTAACCTTAACATACTTACATCAGGATCATCCACATCGACTGGGTTTAAATGTATGTCCGTGACCCCTCCCAGATAGTTGAACACCAACTCTCGTATCAGATCGTTGCTTTCATTATCTAGGTATTGATCTGTGAAGAAGTGTCCTGAGCCCATAACGAAAAGTTTACCTGGTAAAATAATTGTTTATATTATTTCTATCATAATTTGGCGCAACTATGGTCTAGTTATACACAATGTATAATGTTATATATAGTGGTAAGTGGGTAAAGATTGATCAAGGCAAAAAAAAATTACACCTATTAATTTCTCAAGCCCTAGTAACTTTCGTACAAATTACTAGTAAGGTTGGCTAAATTTCCCTTTTGACATTGACATACCTACCTACATTACATGACTTTAGTTTTTTTAGTTGTCCATATTAAACTTTCAATTAATTGGTTATTATTTCGAAGTTTAAAAGGAGCTTAAAGTTTATTAAATTAACATTAAATAACTAAACAGTGTTCATAACGGATATATTTATCTCAAAACAAAGCTGTTTTAATTGATTGCGGATTATTTAACCTAATAAATAGGATGGGACATAACTTATCTACCTATCTATGTTTGTACGATAAATACCGCCAGTTTTTTCAGATGTGTAGAGTGCTGCAATGGGTCTCTTTACGGGATAACATACATCGCTGCTTGACAAAATGGCCGCAGCTGGCTTCTTCACAGTTAGCGTCGCACCGTAAGGGTAAATGAAATTTGGTGATGGTGGATCTTCACTATAAAGATAGATGACATTTAAATTAAACATTTTGTGACCAAATTAAAAAAAAAACGAAGATTAACCATGCAGTTGATCTGACTTTAGGGTTCTTAACGTCTTTGACGATTTCAAACGAGTAAAACTTAAAAAAATTAAATCATGAATTATTGAAACTGACACAAAATCATCAGATTCGCTCGTGTAGTTGGGCATCTTCATAATGGACTTGACGACAGCTCTGTTCAGGATACCGTTGGAAATATGACATTCTTTAGGATGGTAATATTTGTGATATTTCGCCCGCACCACGCAGTCTGGAATACAATTGCATTCATATAAAATGTTATCCTAATCAATTTGTAGAGCATTTATAACGTTAAACTATCTCACCATTATTTACAATAATTCCATATTCTTCCAGAAAGAAATTAATATTTGTATTCATTCGTTCTTCACCCCCATCGGTCATAAGTACTAAGACAGAATCACCTCTCTCCACCATACTTTTGAGCGCACCTAATTCGTCGTCGTTAAATACATTCTGCGGTCCTGGTACTACTAAAATCTTGACGTCTTGCAGTATGGTAGGTGAGAGCTCATCGCGGTTGCTGGGACCAGAAGAAATAAGCATTTACTTTCTTGACTGTTTAGAATTTAAATAGATCGCGCAGATGTGATTGTAAGGGTATATTTATTTGAGTTTTTTTTTCATAACAGCGGACAAGCATGGGGTCCACTTGCTCGAAAGTGAAATACTTCAGTCATCTAATGTCCAAACAAGATGCGCTGTTCATCTTTTCTGGCTATGGACATTCGGGAATCCAAAGGGAAGCCTAGACGCGGTTACTTTACAATAAACATTACTTACATCATTACTTTCCATGTAGTTTTAAGTTTCCGATGAAGCATTTTAAAATTTTCATTAATTTTAAACAGTTCATTCTTAGAGACATCGAATAAAATCGTATCTACCATTGACTTCATTGTTACAATCTAATCTAAACTTTACAACAGATAGTAACAAACCTAAAGTTTTGTTTTTCGTTGCTAAGCAACGGCACAGAGTATGTTAACAGCGCTATCAACGGTCGTAGGCAATTTTAATCTGTGTAAACTTGTGCAGGCGCTAAATATTTTGTTAAAATAAAAAAAAACACCACAATTCGTGAAATAATATATTTTATTTACATTCGAATAGTCGTTATACCGAATCGTATTTGTCACTAGCATTACGCTATTATCCTAATTAATCGTATTTACATTAACCAATAAAAATAACATTTTCTATATAGTATTGCTACAACTTTTGTCTTGTAGACGTCCAATAAGGCATGGAGGATGAATTAGTGCAACTGATATTTATGTATCTCATTGATAAAGGCATAAACATATTTTAAAAATGGTTTATGTAATAGCATATAATATAGAAAGTAACATCTTGTAACGAAGTTATTCTATCAATATACACATAGGTACATTATAACCATGAAATGTCGATTTTTCCTGAAAATATTGCGATTAATAACTGCACTAAAACATCCTTCGTAATCGCCAATACATATTTAATAATATCTGAAATTTCGTCACGGAACATGAGTTGAGTTTCCTTATCTTAAAGTGCTGTAAAAATTGTACGTGTAAGGCCGATTTAAACAAAAAACATTGTATTGTCTTTCTCTTCTTATAACAAAGAAAATATTGTAAATGGCTAAGAGAAAATATAGTTTTGCCTAATTAACTTAAGTTTTAAAACCCTCTTTTCAATTTCAGTTCGATAATATTGACTCAATTAAACTGATCAATATTTTTGTGGTATAAATCGGCCTTATATATAACAATGTGAAATGTGAATGTTTTAGGTTTAATATAAAAATAAATTAGCCATTTGAAGGTTTTTTTATTTTAAAAGCTTCAAATCATGTTTTTTAATATTTCAAAACGTTGCGAGTTTTACGTTACTAACAGTTATTGCGATACATTGTATAAAATATCATAAATATTGTGCTATTTTAACTGATAAATTATAGTAACGCTTATTTTTTATATACTCGACGGTACTCTATGAAGAATAGAAAGGCATTGCTGAATATGTTTAAAAAATCTTGTGCTAATAAATAAAAATATAAAAAGCGGCGACCACAGATCATAATAACATTTCTCTAAAAAGTCTTCACTAAAAATATGACTGTACAGTGTATAATATAATATATAAAACTTAGTAGGAATGGATACCTAGAGAATCTACAATTATATATTTACAGAGGGATTTTCGTTTGGATTTTGAGCTGCGTTTGAGCTTATAATAAGCATGGTTTGAAGAAAAATGGATAACTGCCGAATTTTAGAAATTATTAAAATAGTTTTCGAAGAGTCGAAAGAAACAGTTACCCCTTTTTCTTACTTTCCCCTAACATTTTCGAAACAATTAAATTTAATGTACTTTAAGATATGTTTTACCTTAATAGGTAATATTTAATCTAGTTAAATATTTATGGAAAATAAATATTGGAATTATAATGTTGATTGAGAGAAAGATTTATAAAACGTTTGTCTAACTAGCCTGTCAATTAAATTGTTGATACCGAAAACACACAAGTAGAGATAAACTATCTTTGAACTCGAGTACCAGGCGAACATAAGATATGAGGCCATCAAAGCGTGGCTTTGAGATTACGATAATTTTGATAAACTAATGTAAGCAGTTCGAATACCAGGCTAACAGCAGATCATAAGAAGCCCATGTCCAACGCGTTATACAGAGCCGCGATATCCGAATGACCGGATATCCGCCAGAAGGGGTAGTTCTTCGCTTTGGCGGCAGCTTCTTCGTCCTGTCCGTCGCCGACCACTACGTAGGTGCATCTTTCGCCGAAGCGTTGTTTGATTTTTTCGAAACATGTTTCTTTGCCTGAAGTAAGATAAAAAAAATCCATTAAAATAGATATAGAGTAAAATTAGAAAAATCTTTTTCACAATTCATACTAATTAAAGGTATTTTCGCGGAATTCGAACACAACTTACTTGCTTATTAACTTACTCTTTAATTAATTTAGTATTTTTATATTTGTTTTTTATATCTTTGTACAAAAAATTGTTTTATTACTATTACTATTATTTAGTTTTAACGCCTGAAATGTATTACAGAAAATATATTTGTCTTATCCTCTTTTAAAACACTAATAAACAAACAACTAATTGCACTAAATTATATTAATTATAGATTAGATTTACCCTCTAAAACCGGTCGTAGGAAGTTGAACAGGTATAGAATAGTCCTTACCAGTCTTGGTAGCTGAGTAGATGTTCTCTATAGGAAATACTCCACCCAGGCCGAATAGTAGCACTTTGGCTAGAGCTGGTACCAGCTGGGTCGTTGTAACAAGTACATTCACACAGTTTTCTCTGTAAGACATAATATATACATAGAAATAAGTTACTTTTATGGCTAACTATAATTACTAGATCAATTGAATTTAACGGTTTAAATAAAACACTTTATACGGTTTATAATGCGAATTATAGTAGTAAGCTAATTTACAATTAATTTTAACTGCGACCCGGCGTTTCAGATGCTTTGTTTCAGTTTGTTTCAGATTGCTAATAAGTTACTACTTACATAAACTACAGAAAATAACTTAAGTTATAATTCAAACATTCTTAAATGATTTCTTCAAAAGGAAAAGAATAGGTCATGGCATATTGGTGATAGTTGATAAGGGCACGAAAATCAGTATTAGGATAGAATTTCTTACCTAGAATTGATCATATTTAGGCATTTACAAGCAAGGGTTAACCAGTTATCTGTGGCCTGTTCGAGTTCTGCCCGCAGTTGCAGCCACTGTTCACGTTTTGCTGGTCCCAATAAACCACCCACACTGGAAGAGTAATTAAAGTGTCAATCATGGTTCATGACAGATATATCTGTCTAGATAAGGTTAAAATGCGAGATGTATTAGTTAAATTGGCGTCTTATTTAGCTTGGATACGGCCCCGAGGATACGGATGGTATGCCTGGTCCTAGCAAAATACGGTTAACTAATATATTTCGCGTATTAAACCGTTAATTGATTTATTTAAATAACCATTAAACCACAAACTATAGACAAGAAGACAATTAAGTTGCATTATTTAAAATACAATTACCATTTATTTGTATGAATGTGGATGGTCCTACCTATTTCTGTAATTATTGTATGTATCTTTGATTTTCCTGTATCGGAAAGCGAGTTTCCTCATCCAGTCAACTCCACCTCTGACACCAGGGGCGCATAAACCGGCGTTCGGGGCTGCACCCGCGTGGAAACCGTCGGAGGCGAAGTTGTATGCAGATAGGTCTTGTCCATTATCATCAGCCGCTACCGCATCTATGTGTTCTTGGTCACAGTCCTGAAAATTCAATTAGATGCATTTAAAATAAGCTAAGACTTTTAAAATAAGGGGTAGTAAAGAGATTTTATATAAATAAACTTTTTGCTTACCTCTACATCATTGAAGAAGAAATGGGTATCTGCTAAGCTAAATATCATCTCTTCCATTCTAAATCCCAACTGTACTATCTGCTGTGTATCCTAAAATTATCAATTTATGTTTGAAATCTTTAATATTTTTTACATGAAGGCACTATATAATTTAAAAAATCGTAAATAAATTGAAAAAAATTTCGACTCGGGCAGGACTTAAACTGGTATCATCAGCGTTCCATGCTGTTGTTCTCTGTTCCTTGGTAGCTCAATTGGCAGAGTCCTGCCCAAGTCGAATTTTTTATCGACTTTTAAATTATTAATTTAAGTTTAATAGTTGATTTCATAAATATGTATATAGAGACAACTTGGGCTGTCAAGAAATGAACAAGAGAAATAAATTTTAGATATATTGGTTAACATTTTATTCACAGGTGGACATAAAAGATCTAAACTTAAATAGATAAGATAGAGTACCTTGTTGTACTTAGTTGCATAAGTCCCAGTGAGCAATGAATGGAAGATAATAATAGTTTCGTCCAAATCCCAAATGAACACTCTTTCTGTAGTTGGTTCAGGTACATGTTGCGCTGGTGATGAAGATGTGTTCCTACGACCTCGCCCGCGAGATCTGGATGTTGTACTCTCTCTGTAAATATACATAAATAATTGATTACACAAATTTTTGACTTCATTCTTAATGGTATATGTATTGTGTTTAATATTTTAATGTAGGTTTGTCCTTATTTTGTGTGTTGTTTAAAAATGGTTCGACAAACGTGCTTTTCCTTCTTGTTTGTAACTATGTAGTCATATCTCAATCCTGCTTTTTAATAACCATTATAAATCAGTAATGTCCGGTTAGTATTTGTAGCCTTGGGCTCAATACGTCAAAAAAAAAACAAATCAATGTAATCTAACTCACCCTGAATTTTCTCTACATCTCCGGCTGGCAGCATGAATTTCATTCTTGATTGGTGATAAAGGTGTGTCATTTATAGAAGGCAGCATTGACGATGGAGACTCTGTAATATTTAAATAAAATATTGTGAATAGTTGTCTAAAGTATTCAGAGCCTTTATTATAGTGCACTTCATTTTAATAACTTTTATGTATGTTTGATATACTGTAATTTTTAACCATTCTATTTCTTCTGGTAAAAGTTTTTTTATGTGATGATCAATATATTATAATATATTATAAATAATATTATATTATACCACTATCGCTGTCAGAATCAGGCCAGAAATCGGAGTCACCATAATTATGGTCTGGTTCATCATCATTTATTCTGGGGCGTTTGCTTGGAGGATATTCTTGGTTCTCTTTATTCATTTTTAAATATCTCTAATGGAATTCACTTTATGGAATGTTTATTACAACAACGCCGGTACCATTAAGTCATTTTAAGATCAAATGGATTATAAATAATTACAAATAATAACTATAATATAGCTTCCTGCTTCGCGTCAACAACACAAACGATAAGATGTCAAATGTCACTGTCAGCGTCATTTTAGATTTTTAATGACGCATCTTGAAATTGGTTCATCTTGTGATGCGTTCACACATTCTTTAATAATAATAATTTTTTATATTATTTATAGTAAGAAATAAAAGGATATGATGAATTGTTTTAAAATAACCTTTAAGAAAAAATAATTCTCCTCTTGAACGCTATCTTCATCTTAATGGTATAATATAATGTGGCATTGTGTAGATGGCGCTTATCACAATGACTACAATCATAATAAAAAATGAAAACTGGAATTACCTGTTAAAGTTCCACCTAGGTGGTAGGACGTGTGACCGGCACTCCCACTGCTGCTCGGTGAACTAACATAGGGTGAATAACTCGGGGTTGCATAGTAACCGCCATATTGCGCGACGCTGTGATCCGCGTAACCTGTTGTATAACTACTGTAATCCTGTAAAGAATCGCACTATTCACGAAAAGAGCAATACACAGACAATAAGTAATACAAAAGGTATGTTTGTGAACCTTATATCAAATAACTGAATATCAAAATAATAAGTAATAATATTAAATCCCGTTATTTGGCAAAAGGCATACCAAAAACCATTTTGTCAGCATAAGTTGTAGAACACAGACTTTTAGCAAAAGCTTACTGCCAATCAGTGTTCTGCATAATCTATAAAAAATATTTTCTATAACAGACTTTGATATTGTCTCCAGAACTTGTTTTAATTGACTTAAACAAAATATTCTCAAACATTTTTTTAAATTAGGCAAACACACTCTTTACTAGAATAATTGTTAAGGGTAACCCAATAATTGACGCATCAGCAGCTTTTACGGAAGCCGTAATGATAATCAAGGATCTTAAAATATATAAATTAAAAAAATACCTGTTGCGTATTAGAAAACGACTGCGCCAAGCCGCTGTTATAGGAAGAATAGGCGTAAGGAGATGGCTGAGCAGCGAAACCAGAACTGGAAACCGTTCCCACACCGCTCACGCCGTATGGACTTAGATAAGTTGGCGTCGCTTTGCACGACGGCCTATAAAACATAATTGCATTATTATTTGGGTATACAAAGTCTGAACTTTACGAAATAAAATAAAAAACATGAAACAGTTTGAAACGCGAACTATATCATTCATCTATGGTAAATCCGGCTTGGTATTTAATTTGGCCATGATTACATGTTGAAAGCTGTGTATATACCTATCTTCTTAGTTCGCGTTTCAAACTAGGTATTTAAAATAAGTCTTATTTAATAAGAACGTAACGTAAACTACAGATTTCTCCTTACTGCCTTCTATACAAAATGTTAACATCATCTTACTTTCTTCAAAGAAAATGTATACAAATTGTTCTTTATCGTGAACAGAGAAATGGAATCATTTGCACCTCAAAGAAAATATGATTCCTCCTATTGTCTACAGGTCTAATTTAAAAATGCTAATGGTTAAATGGCGGTAAGTTCGATCTCAATAATAATTGGAACCTGTGGCGAGAACGAATACCACCGCCCTCAAAGATATTTGTTTTATAATCAACTTACCTATTATTAGAGTTGTGCGCAGTTGGGTAAGCCGCATATGGCTGGTTGTATAGAGAGGAGCTGACGTATGATGAAGCAGCGCCCCCGCTGCCATATTGTTGCATACTAAAAGTCAAACACATCAGTAAGACTATTTACAATTTTTACATAAGTTTCAAATTAAAAGAATAATGTCACAAACGGATCTAGATTCCGGAACCATTGCGTAACTTGCTGTTCGTCTACCTAAGTTATCTCGGTGCGCCTATTAACGTACAATTTATATAATCTATTTATAAATGCGTTTATGTGCATTATTTGGTGAAAGTTATTTAAAAACGAATAATATTTATTGAGATATTATAAAGTAATTACGATTTAAAAAGTGTTTGTCTTTTTAAGATAACGATTAGAGTATGCATAATTATTTTATATATTTTACTACTTATTATATAATTATAGATTGATTCAACATGTTTATGCGCCGGATGTCGATTTAATAACATTCGGAAAACCTAATTTAACGTTAGACTATTTATGCCCGAACTTCCAAATATTATCATATTTTAATTAATAAATTGATTGTCCAACTAGCGATAAATAAATTAATAATAATTAACGCCAACACCTCTTCTAATCTAATTAAGGAAACAAAAAAAATAATCTTATTAATCGTTTTACCCTAACAACTTACAGGGTTTCAGTTTAATCGGCCGCTAGCTTTATTTTGGGGCTTTTCAGACTAATAATATTTTGGAAAATTTCACGTAAAGCAAATATGAACATACTTACGTTGTAATTTTTACAAAATGAGACAGAGAGAGAATATGTATATCAACGATCTAGTTTTAAGCTCTAAAACTTATTTAACCGAATTCAGTTACAAGAGAATTTAACAATATATAAATTACCCTTTCGATCTTTTTATCACTTACGTGGCCAAAAACACTTTATAATCGCAACATTATAATTGAACCAGTATAAAGCTATATACTTTCATATAAAACATAATTAAACAGTAACAATATTATTTTTCAACAGCCAACCCTAAATAATTGATCGTAATTACCTATTATAATACTGATAAGACAATGCTGACTGGTCGTAGGGCAACGCTTCGCCGTACAAAGCCACGTCCGCTTCGCAAAGCCCCGGGCTTCGGACTTCGCTCTTGACTCCACCACCTACACGAACGAAAAATCATAAATTTCACTTAAGCGCTGCTAGCCTATCCACTTAGTAGTATATACTATTATGTACTGGGATCCAAGAACTCAATAGGAGATCTAACTCACCCGTGCTATCTTCATTCATCAACCAAGCGACTGCCGAAGATGTCGACGTAGAACAGAGACCAGTGGACGTCAATGGCAAAGAGAGTGCTGTACTTGATGGGCATCCGTTCGTCAAGGTGCAGGACTCTACGTCACCAGATAATACCAGGGCATCAGAGCTTAGTGCCGAGTTAGTAGATGTATTTGGATATGACGTGGCTAGTAGTGCTGGGAGATTTGCATCTTGAAGTAGCGATGGTGGTGACTCAGATGTCGATTCCGATTCTGGGCTTGCGCCTTCACCAGATAATCTGAAATATATCTTATACTGTAGGACGTTATAATTCGTAGTTTAATCGAAATTATTTAAGCTTCAGTTGTTTTGTTATTTATTTTATATGTATGATGAGTGTTTACTATTTTACATTACATCCTAAGATGCTTTAATTAATAAAGACATATCATGTCAGTACATGTAATTAGACTATCAAAAACTTTTTTGTTGCTCGAGTGTGTGTGTATGCGCACGTTAATCTCAAAAGAATTGAAGGGATCGCGTAGATATTAAGCTAAGCCTATGGCAATATATTTAGGCTTTGTTTCATTGAAATGGGATGCCAGTGAAAACAATTGGGTACATCAATGAGTTGAATCAGACATATAATTGTTAATAAACCTTAATTATTTGAATTGAATTGAACATAGCTAACAACATACGTTTCAGTTATATAAAAATGTATTTGGAGGCTGTATTTCTACATAAGTTAAGACGTACAGGTGAGTTAAACTAAGTACATGTATGTGTTGTGTAGAAACATATGTCGGATTAGAATTTGTTACCTAAAGATATGAGATGAATTAAATTGTTAATTTCTCGCCTTCCAATTGTATTTTCATTTTGATTTGAAATAGTTCCGAAGGAAAAGTTCTGTTGCAATTAAACAAAGTGGTAAACAATACTATTTCCTCTCGCTAAATAAATAAACGCGTTTAACGTCTTCATTTTATCCGCGTAATTAGTGCAGGCAATAAGATTGTGTTTTCATTTGATACGCAAACAACTTCGACGGTTTATCGACGATTTTTGTGTAGCTCTCGCGTAAATAAACAGCCTCAGTTTAACACAACATTGGAAAATAAAAAATCCATTAAACGGCGGTATGTTTACAGAGGCGGCACTTTTTAAAACAATCACTTGGAGTTTTGGATGTCTTTATTTCGGAAAGTAATTGGGCATCGAGTATTGGCTTTGTTCGTTCCAGAATATAAATGTAGCGCTTTTGGGTGCAGACTATGTGATGCAATCCAGCAGTTTGTCAATAAGTGTTTTATGGTTATTATCAATAATATGTAAGCTTAGTTTGTAGTTAAATGGTTAAACGTGCTGCCTAGCATTGCGTTAAGCGTTAAGCGTCCTGGGTCCTGGGTTCGTATCCAGGCAGGGTACGGAAGCCTGATCAAGTACTTGCCTGTAAATAAAATCTGTGTAACGCACACAGAAATGTATTCGCTCCATGCCCCACAAGGGGAAGCGGGGTTTCACTTAATGCTTAGTTTAGGTTTTAGATCCGACCATTTATTCAAAAAGCAAGGAATATACGAATCTAAGTACATATATGAATAGTAGGTATATTTGTTCATAATATATGCCAAAATCAAAATAATTTATTTATGTGGGTACCTAGTGTACTCTTATGAACGCCAAAACAAAAATTTCAAACTCTAAATTTACATTTGCTACCTACCTACGTTGCCTTTAGATTTGCTATAGGTATAGTTTAAATTAAATTATGCCAGAAAACAAGGGTTGGGCTTAGTTATTCAAAATTTTGAATATTTATTTGGTTTAATAACTGCCTATAATTCTCCGCAAATAAGTTTGAATATAACGACATGCATAATTATTGTCGACGAATAAATTCTCATAAGAAAAAACTAAACATCGTGTGCCGATACGCAAAAGACGCATCAATTAAAACACGCTTAACAAATATTAAATCACGCGTCGTTTATTAAGAGTTATAAACCATAAAAATTAATCACCGAAATCAAATAGCAGATGCCTCGCAGACCCCTTTGCACAGTGGATTTATCAAACAGAACTGTTTGCATGTGTTTCGATTAATTTAGCTCGTTATCATCGCGTTGCGTTTGTCAACTCCCGCGCAGTTACGAATAGAAATTCTGTGGAAATTTAATGACATATTTTTTAGTTTGATTTCAACCAATAATGATAAAATCATTAAATGATTAGAAAATAATTAAAAATGTATTACCACTTCCTGGTGCACGAAGTTTCCACTACTTTTATTTATTCAACCTGTGTATTTTGCATAACACAATAATAGAAGTAACGTGGTAATTAAGCAATATTGGCTGTAGGATATAGTAGCAATTTTTTAAGAAAATTCTCGCCATTGTTTAGGAAAAGCATATGAAATAGTTTGAAATGTATGTTTGTGTACCAAGTTTTCTTATGAATTGTCAATTATTTTTCTATTCACCTTAATATATAAACTTATGTTATTCTGTCTTCTTTTAACATACAAAAGTGTGTCTGTCAAAATTCTGGTTCACACTACATTTAAAAATAGTACGGACCATTAAAATTAATATATGATTTACATAGCAGCCGCACCTCGACATTTTATGACGTTTTACGTAATCGAATTAATATAATATATGCAAATATATGATAATGGCCGGTTATGACAACTTTTTTTATTTTACACCGACTGTTTAGAATGCTCCACGAATATTTGTTTTATTGCTATTAATACGGATGATTTGTGGTTCTCTATTAATTATGCGACGACAGAAACAATAAACATGGTGGCAATGAGATTTTATTGATTTTATTGTTTTAATTAAAAATCGGGTTATGAAATTTTTTTACTTAATTTTTATAGCCTATATATATATATATATCCGTATAAGTAGTACATATATCAATATTTTGTTTAAAAATGTTTGATGCTGATACGCGCAATGATTCGTAGTTGGTGTCTCGTAGGATTTTCAAAGACACTATTATAAAATACGTGATAAGGTACACGGTATCTTAATTGGTTAGAGACGTAAGGTTCGCTGTGGATACGAGTTCAAAACCGCTCGTGTCATAATTTTTTCACGTGGAAATGTGGAAAAACGAATAGTAGATCGGTTTGTTTATATTATATATAGCAAGCACTTTTAATATATACAACTATACTTTATTTGTATGCTTACTCCATTCCAATTTTAAAAAATATTTAAAAGGATAAGGCTTAAAATTTCGACATTACATCAATCAAACAAAAAACCCTTGTTTATGTTACTTCGCGCCTTTTTCAAGTGTCACTTTGCTTTTTGCCGCCACTCCGAGAGTTGCCATCGAACAACACTATCGTATATCAAAAGAACGCCATAGAGCGGAATCGTTTTAATGTTGGCAGCATTGTCACTATCTTTTTAATTGAACGCTTTAATGTTACCAGCCTTATACTCGCAGTAGTCATCGTAAAACTAACAAAAGACTTCAAAGTGTTTAATAGTTCGCCGTCGGAACAATGACAATCCATATGGCGAGATGATTTATATGTCACATTTTTAGTTTTATCTTTTTGTCGGGGAGTTTGATGTTCTTATTATAAGACGAGGAACTAGATGTTAAAACACGCAAGAACATAACGCAAACACATATTACAATACATTACTGCTTAATTTTATGGCGATTAAAAAGTGCTAAAAATTAAAAAAGTACTAGTACACATAATGATCGTTGGTAAACTATTTGTTGTGGTAGGTTGGTTTGGTAGAATAAGAATCACCATAAATTAGACAAGATAGAAACATTTTTAAGCTGCTCCCCTATACAACACACGTGCAATTATCTCGAGAGGTCACGTATCGATCGGCAAACCTTTAATTAAAAATCAAAGCTCTGTAATGAAACCAAATAACGCCGTTATTATAAACAAGCGTTCACTTAATTTCTTCTAATCCGTTGCCGGGGAAGTTAAACAATAACCTCTCTGCCCTCTGACAAGGGCACAATGGGCGGCACACTTCTACAAAGAACAACGGATCATTATGAAGCGAACGAACGGTTCCGTAGCTAAGTATGTGTAATTACAATTTTGAGTGGACTAAGTGTTTTCAATTTTGAATATGAATGTATTTATTATGCTTTCCATACCTCTTGGTACTACATACTTTCCTAGTCTTTTACGAAAATAAAAAAACCTAGCCATGTCTGTTTTCACACTTCTTCATAAACGAACATTTTAACATTAAACAAAAATAATAACTTCGCAAGTTTTAGTCAATAAATCTTTTTCTAAAATATAAGGAATGGATAAACTATAGTTTTTAGACAGAAAAACAGTTATTAAAGAAGCCAGGCTATTAACTAAATGATAATATTATGGTAGCTAATGAACCCTAAAAACTAAGAGCCCTTTTACCATTTGGCCTCCACGTGTCAAACGGGTGTGGATACTATAAGGTTTTTTTTTGTACCGACACATAAAATTAAGGAACTAGAACAAATGACTTCAAGAGTTTAGCAAACTTTAGAAAAAATAATCTTTTATCTGTGATCTCAAATGTTTTAATATAAGTCTGTCTTTTAAGTGATTAAATTATGAAATTCAAAGGATCTATACCTTCGATGACAATTGACACAAATTAAAAAAAACATCAATGACAGCCGAATGTCTCCGTAACCAACTACAATAAGACGTCGTTGTTTTGATAATTTTACTTTTCGAGATAACTGTGTGTAGTTTTCGCGAGTAGTATACATTTAAATACAACACTTTAATTGTTTAAAAGGTGAAATATAATATTATTGCAAAGCATCCGAAACGTCGGGCCGCATTTTAAATATTTTTTAAACAAATTTAACTAAAATATATCGCGTTTTCAACCGTTAAAGTGTTTTATTTAAAAGACAACTGTGTTTTTAAAAAATGACTTACTTTTTTTATGACACCTATACACAAATGACAAATTGGTAAACCAACAATTTGCGCAGATATTTTATTCAACAAAAAACATAAGTGCACGCCATTTTCTCGAGAGGAAGCGTATAAAAAGTATTCTAAAAACAGAGCATAACACGTCATTCGATATTTCGAATCCGCTTGTCAAAACGTAAAAAACTTGTAGTTAACGGAACGGCATTCGGAAAATGATTTATTATTATTGTAACACTATTTCAGTAACCTTTGGGATTCTTAAAAAGTTTGTGTTAACCACTAATTAAAGAAACATACGTCGTCTAACTCGGAATGTCTCATGTTAAATACCAGAGATATTATTTATCTCTTTTCGTATTCCTTCTCGAATGTGTTGTGTGTGTGTGTGAAAGTGAGTTATTACGGAAAGATTACACAATCATATCTGAACATTTAATTAAAAGTGTTTGATATCATAATCATTTAGTTTAATATGGACAACTTTTGTCCCGTCTCACTTAAAATATGCCGGACGGAATTTAGATATTTATGCCAAGCATTTAATGTCCAGATGTACACGAAGACCAACTATATAAAAAAATTACAAACATGTTAGACCCGGTGAAAATCGAACAACAAGTAGATCGTCCACTTGTTGTTATCTGTACATTACAACAACTTTACCTTCAGTTTACTTGAATATAAGAAAGAGGTATTTAAGAAACTTTTAAATCCATATTTTGTACTTTATTAATAATACTCTTGTGTTTATAGATAGGTAAACAAATTTTCCATAGTACAAGGAAATCGTTTGAGGTCAAAAGACAACGTACATTCATGACAGAACACTGTCCTTAAACGGTTTAAAACACGAAATGTGTAAGTTAAACTTATTAACAAATTATTTTAACTACGACCCGACGTTTCGGGTACTTTGCAGGAATCGTGATCACGTGACTAAAGTGAAGGGTGTCCCTAATGACAAAATAAATAAGTTTAACAAATACGTTTCGCGTTTTCAGCCGTTAAATGTGTTTTATTAAAATGTGTACTACTCGCGTAAGCTTAAACACTGTCCGATCCACCAACGCAAAAAATGACAAAACTTTAAAATCTTCATTCCGTAAAAGGGAATCGTCAAATCGACACGTAACATAAAACCCATTGTGTTGGCGAATTCGCTTTGATGACGAGTGATAAAAGGTCCCTAAGTAGCTCTTTTCGCAGCAATTGTGTATCAACAATATAGGGATTATCGGGATTAAGGGCCCTTGTGTAGTGTAAACTTCGATTCAAACTCGAGTTGGTGGAATGAAGTGTGATTTTGAGTCAAGTAGGTAGCTACTGCCTCGTTGGTCTAGTGGTTAGTATCCTTGACTGCAGATCATGGCTTCAAGTCAGACAATGTTCTAGTTCGGTATTAGAATCTCAAATTCCAGTAACAGCCTGGAGTTTTCAAGAAGATGTCTCACTTATGAGCATGGTAAGCCGTCGGGCCCAACAATCATCACGAATGGAACAAAGTAGTGCGTCTAAGCACTCCTATTAACAGGAATTAAAATCATGGTATTGGCTCGTTAAGTTCTGGTTTAGTAAAACAGTCGCAGTATGTGAAAAGTTGACAAGACTGTGGCCGGTTCAACCGAAACAATAAATTGAACACCAGAATTCTCGCGCTAAATACAATGCTAAGAAGCACGTTTAACCATTTAGCTATAGAGGCGATCGTAACATAGGGGTGATAATAAAACAAAATGTCTTCTGCACAGTTCGATATGTATATAGATATTTATAGACTTACCTAACATCGGTTCCTGTGTCTTGTCGTGGTCGTTTAGTCTATAACAAAAGAAAACACTTATTCAAGCATGTAAAGTTTAAATTCAGTTGATTAGTATAAAAGCAAAATGCATCGTGGCAGCTATTAAGTAGTGTGAAAATATGTAGTGGATTCAATTTTGACTGTAAATTTATTAATGAACTTATAGATAACAAATGTGCTCGATAAATCTAAACAATGAAGTAATCTAGAATGCAGTCTATATAAAACAACAAAATCATTTTGGATTTATAAGTATGATATAGGCGCGACGCGAACCCATCCCACCCAACAGTAAGGTTCGAGCGCCACGTGTAATATTTTTTTTATATCCAAAGTTATTTTTCTTTATTACAATAACTAACTAGAGATAAAGCGTAAAGTAGTAAGTACGTACAAAGATGTATCAGAGTATTATTTGCGGTTATCTGTATTATTAATCTATAGAAATTACTTTGAAAATTATAATTATCTGTTTCAACTCAGAATTATGTAATACCACGGATGAAATGCTACTAATAGGATGGCATGCATTTTATGACACTACCATTAACATAATATGGACACAGCTTCCCAAATTTCCCAAAGTTAACAAACCCGAGATTTTAGATACACTACAAGTTATAAATAATAAGACTCCTAAATGTCGCCTCCCCGATCAAGATTAAGGTAACAACATTAATAAAATCGAGCCGAATTTATTTTACAGCCCTCAGAGGGCGCCACCGCGTCTCATTTGATATACAGGCTTATAAAAATGAAAATTTATTGAAATATCATCTCTGTTGCACAAAGATAAGGTACCATTTTGATAGACGGCGAAATTATCAAATTGTAGATGCTGTGGTGATTTGAAATATTTTCACGTCCATTCCGTTCATGTGATCCTAATACTTTTTTTTGTATGGTTCACATTTTTGTTACACTTGGTAATGTCAAGTATGATCGGTTGGGTGGTTGGTACCAGGGCAACAAGGTAGCTAGTAAGTAGCCTTTTGTATTTAATTTTTTTTTTTTTTTAATATTATTTAATGGCCTGGTAAAACGTTTTGTATTTAAAATTATACATATAGTTAGTTACAACTACAAAATTGACACTGTGTAAGTATGTTAATATGTAATCTGCTTTAGAAAATTGTTATATTTTTTTTTGATAGAGGAATACAGATAAGTGTGAAGTTCACTTAATCGACGGTGAAATAAATATCTAAACTATATAACACATTAACAACCTGTCGACCTATTTTGGATATTTGTGCTTTGGATAAATCCGCAATCCACAGACTGACAGGGAAACGCGATTAAACTTCACGACTTATTTTGTCTGTTATAGTTCATGCCCCGGACAAAATTTCGCTAGTCCTACCACCCATTTAACATTAAGATTGCAAGACAAAGTTGCAACATATTTTATTGCTGCCATGCATTGCTAACATTAGAACAACGCGCCTATCTAAAACAAATGCCCCAATTATAATATTTAGATACATATTGCAACTGTAATTTTTATTGCGATAAACTTACGTGGGGTACATGTTCACGCATTTTTGGTGTAAGGCCTGTCACAAAAATCGTAAAAGTTTTGTAATCTGTTTTTTTTATATTGGTGTATTTTTATTGTACCAAAATTCACATAATCGCCATAGACGATGAGGCCGCGTTTGTACAAACTTTTTTTTGGTAAAATAAAATAAGTGTAAATAAATATGTTTGTTTAATAAAGAGTTTATATTCCAAAAACACGTATTCAGAAACCATCCATGTAACAATTGTTTCCATGCAACCTAACTTAGGATTTAATTTAAGGTGTATATTTTCTAAGCAACATTATCCTGGTGTCGTACATTCATCTACCAGGATCGCATAACTCATTGCGTTTGATACGCGTGTGAGAAAGCGTAAATCACGAGATGCATACCGCACGAGGTGTGAGGCCGCGCGATCTCGAGATAGCGGCCTCTAATTTATACGTTTTACGCGGCGACAACGCTACGGACTTCGATGTATAAGCTGCTTACTATTTGAATTTTAATATCTTATATTTCACAATACTCATTCTTACACACACTAGTAATTTTAAATCATAGCATAATTTAGTATTATATACCAGTAGTATGTCTATTTGTTACAAAATCTTCTTTATTTGACCGTTCTAAGCAAGACTACTACGATTCAATGAAACGTTAAATCGATTAGCGAACTGCTTAGAGTAGCAATATATTTTTCGCGTTTTTTAACGGTTAAAAGTGTTTTAATTTAATGTACTATAATACTACTAATGTAAACTATAGACAATAGTAAAACTATAGACTGCGATTTTAATATAACGATTTAATTACCAACAAAAATATTAGGTAAAATTTAAATGTATCCTGTAAACTGGTCCCAGAACAATCCTTTAAATATGTAATGCGTTTATTGTTTTATCTCGCATTTTATTTATGATCGGGACGAGTCCTGCCTCATTCCCGCGAAGGAGAAATAAATTTTCTAATTTATTATACTCCTTAGTGTTTGTTTATCGATAATTCGATGTATCGGTATTAGTAGGGCTATCGATCTGTTAGGGTTGTTGAAAATATTATTTGAATTTCAATAATGTTCTACTGCTTCCAAATGCCTAATAGCTTTACAATTTATAACGTGTATTTTGGAGATATAAAATGATAACATAAATTTAATATTTACCGAATATTAAGTATTAAAACACGGCATAGTAAACTAACGTAAAACCAATATACGAAATATTTGTTACCTTTAGTTTCTATAAATTGTATGTTACATTTGTCAACCCTATGACAAGTCCTTTAAAATCTGGTGTGAATTGTCAATTTATATTAGAGATTTATATTTTGATTCTGTTGGTGTTTAGTTATTTGTAAAAAGGCTTGTTTGTTTTATTATTTAAAGTTAATTGTTTACATTTTTAGTTTATTGTTCAAATCTTTTATATGTAAAGACTTATTTGGTGAGGTTGTACTTTGGAAACTTATATGGTTAGTAATACATATGTTACGCATACTAAGCACGATAACTAAAGGTAAATCTATCTTTGTGAATTTGTTCTTAATACTATGACAGTTTTTTTTAAGTATGTTTTAGTACAGCTACGAATTTTCGTAGCTGAGTGCTACGGGACTCATATTTTTTTAAATAATTTAATATCAAAATGAAAATATTAATATAATTTTAGAGTGAATAAATAGTTAATACAATATTTTAAATAAGTCTAAATAATAAATAAGATTTCGAATTTCGCTTTAAACACGAAAATGTTTTGAAAGCTCTTCTTATATATATTGCTGCTTATGCAAATGTCCCGTTTATAAAACTAATAACTAGGGCAATAGATGTCACAAGGAGGTTCAATAATGTGTGTTCCTAATCCCTAAAGTAGTTCTTATTACTATTCATTTAGGGTTAAATATCGTTTACATCCAAGTATCTTAAGTCGTTCCGTACTTGTGGCGTAACAATTTAAGGATTACTATCGAGAAAGACATCTCGTTCGATAAATCGCATCGCGCCTGGCTATCAACTTGTACAAATTTGTTTTTATTGCTGTTATCTTTGGGTGGTTTTATGTAGCTTGTTTGTTTTCTTTTTAAGGGGACATTGTTTCATTGGTCATTGGGAACGCTTTGTCAGTTAATTTCTCGGAACGTCGAGGAAAGTTTATTCGTGTGATTATTGTGGCAACTACCATGCGCCTGGGCGATTATTGGTGCTTTTGGATTTGATGTTTTGTAACTTGTATTTTTTTAATATGGACTAAAACTAAAAAAGTTGATTAATTTAGATTAACTAATAAATGAATATAGCGCATTAATTTGGTAAATTGCTGATTTGATGAAGATGAAATTATGCAATAAAAAAGGCATCTACTTATTAAAATAGCATACGGGATTGTTATAAAAAATATTATAATAAAGTTTCATTAAAAAAATAGATTTGGCACGAAGTTACTAACATATGAAAATAATGAAAGAGATATAAAATTTCTAGTTTTAGATTAAGTAATAAGGCGCATTTCCAACTAATTCTTATCACCGTTGCTATGATAAGGTCTTCATAAAGAATCGTATAACAACCAACCAATGAACCAACATAGCACTTATGATGGCCTGGTATCATGTGGCTAACGATGCTCTGTTCCGTAGGTCCGTAACGTGACCACGATGTATTACGACTTTTTAATGGGTCCTAAAGATACGTATGAATGAGCAACACGACCCAGCGACTCGAAATACATAAACATTTTGTCCGCAGTCTTGTTTGTCTGGACGATTTGGTCATTGGTGTTGCTAGCATAAATATTAGTAGAAAACAAAAACGACGTTTTTGTATATAAATAGATAAACGATCTTCATTAATTCTTATTAAAGCATTGTGTACGTATATATCAATATTTAATTGTTTATTAGATTATATGTTGAGTTTCGCTTAAATTATCCCATTGTTCAATATATCCATGCAAAATGTGCGGGTGCAGCAGAAAATGCAACGTGCAGCAAGTGACGACAATAAAGTAAACAAGAAAACAAAATTTGCAAAACTACGTGAAACGGAAAGTGCATAAAGCCGTGATAAAGAAAAGTTGCAATATAAAAATGATCGACGAAATAGTTTACATAAGTGCTGTGCTATACGGGACTTTTCTAACCTTGGGTTCCGTGTGGTCCAAACTGCATCGCGGGGACCCGCCGCTGAGGTAGCTACACGGCATCAATGTCACCATGCTGATTACATTCCGATCACTCAAAAGTCAATGTCACTTTGACAGTCTTTAACGCGGGAAACAGTTCGCGACATTCTCAGCACTATTTACGCCCAGTCACTGAATGCACATAACATTATTTCTTGAGGAATGAATATATGAAAAATTTAAAGTTTACGTTGTCTGTGGTTTTAATTGCTAGATCTCCAATCTAGGCTAACGGCCTGGATTTAACCACTGTAGATATTAAAAAGTGTCAACAGTAATTATTCCGCTACAATGCAAACTAGTTATTGAAAGGCCGTTAGTCATCGCCCTACGTCAAACAAAAAAACAAAAGAAAAAATTTACACGTTCTCAGACCACCCACATGGTTTTCCAATCCGAACATCGAAGCATCATCGAAGCCGTGTTCATCAAGTTGTCAAATCGGGTTTGACGTAATCGAGATTTTATTATTTTTTATCCATACCAGCTTCTGTTGCTTCAAGAGCTAATTAACCAGTTTCAAACTGGTAAGGTAACCGCAAAAATGGAAAATTTGTGATTCATCATCACTTCAACCCAAAATAATTTGTAGGTCTTGCTCCATGAAAAATTTATAACCATGATATGACAAGTAGAGATTCGTGGTCTATGGATTATTATAACAGTTCTCTTAATGAACAAAATATGAAGTAGCTGTAACCTGTTATAAACTAAAGCTACTGGCTGATAAAAAAGTAAAGAACGTCAGCCTCAATTAAACGCTCCGTTAAGAAAAAATTAAATTTCAAAAACGTCAAGTTGCGTCCCATTCGACGCTACTATATTAAAATATGAAATGTTAGTTACAAAGTTGTTATACGGCGTGTTCTGTTTGAGCAAGAAATATTGGATCTACTCAGACTAAGGCGCCTAAGGGCATCAAATCCGTTGAATACTTAAATTTTTCACATAGACTTATAAAGATTAACACACACTATACTCAATAATATTAACTCAATATTTATATTCATGTGTAGGTAACATATGAATATAAATATTGAGTAAATCGTATTTTAGAACAATTTTTATCTATCCACACTTCAACTCTGGCGCAAGAGTTCAATTGAAACCGATTCAACGGTAACCAATAAATGAAGTAATCATAAAGTGATAAACATATCTAATATATAACATTCTAAGCTAACTTTCTAATGCCAGCTCTAAGTAACACTCCGTATAACCCTAAAAATCTTTGGAGTTGTATCAACGGGGGGTTACGGTAGCTATCTTCGCTGCGTGATACTAAGTTTAGTCGCATTGTGTAGTCTTTTGATATACTCGTACTTGGAAGAAAAAGTGAAATTTATTCACAAATAAAATTTGATTTGACCCCATGTTATTTTTTTATAGAAATATAGAAATGATTTCGTAAATAGTTATAAAACGTTTACAGTCCCATGTTTTAAAAATAATTATGGTTGATCGGGATCTGTTTGTTTGTACTACGAAAATTTTTTTTTTTACATTAGATGAGCATTTCCTTCTTTTTTTATAGACACTAACTCCTCAAAATACTATTTAGGTGGAAACTAAATTATAGCATAAGGTTTTTTTCATTGCTAGCCATATCAGACTAAGAATAGATCATTCGATTTTCGTTCCCGCCGTAGATTGACGTTTTCCTGTCAGAAGTATTGGGTTACTGTACTAAATGAACTATTTGTTTCTGGCTTCATCCACTCATTCGAACAAAAACACTTCCGATAAAGACTAGAAGATGTTCTGACTAACATATTGACCAGGGATTCGAACTCTGACCTTCGTAATCTGCACAAATACTAATTAGTATCAAATACAGTCTATATTAGTTAGACTTATTTGAAAATTATTTTAACTACGGCCCGACGGTTCACACACTTTGAAGCAGCCGTGGTCACGGGGAGACTAGCTATCTATTTAGACTATACGGCCTTTTAAACCGTTAAAGTGTTTTATTTAAACGAATAGTATAAGACAACCATAAACACCAAGGAGGTTAAAATTAAATTTACTAAGAGCTTTTAGTTATAAGCCTATACAGCTTACGACCTTAGACATTACAGCTAGAACAATAGCGGGTACTAACCAAGTATGGAATAGCATAAATAAAACAGTTTACTAATCGACTCGCGAGCAATTTGGCGATTAAATCAATTAATTTATGCGACCCGATATTATCTTTGTGCATCGAGCGAGTCATGTGGCATTTCATTTTAGCAATTTGCAGAATTACTAGTGAAATAAAACACTTTTTAGTACAAATATATAAATGTCGTTAAAGTAAAATTAGGTATAACTTAATACCCCAAATTAACCATCGGTCTTGGTCCCCAAAAGTGTTATATATACGCTTTTGCCGCTAAATATAATTAAATAATTATATTTGTTGTATATTTTGCGCCATTTACTACAAAGTACCTGCCTGTGAATGACGTGATGATCGTCGTGAATCGAAAATTTTTTTAGCTACAGCCCGACGTTTTGGATGCTTTGCAGCAGCCGTGACCGCGGCTCCCCGTGACAAGACTAATATGTATCGCGTTTTATACCGTTAAAGTGTTTTATTTAAATTTGTTCTACTCGCATAGACTACAGACAGTATGTACTTTGTCATGGTAGTCTAAAGAAAGTGGTATATGTAAGGACACATAAACATTTTTCGTTGTAAGTTAAATTATCGATACCGTATATTCTGACTCGCTTTACTTATATCGATTTACAATGTATATTTAAGTAATATATATCTAAACTTAACAAAGTGTTTAATTTCATATGTATATTTAATCGTAAAAGGTGTAAATAAAACCATGTTTAAGTGGAAACCATCAAAGTTTGACTCATTCTAGTAGTTATTTAAAACATATCTAAATAACTAACTTAATATCTCATAAGCATTAACCAACGATTGGTGTAACGAAAATATTTGGTAATAAATCGTTAAAATATGCGTAACGCTTGTTGATCTTATCAGCCATCTTGTAACTTCATTAATTAATGATGTCTTAGAGGAAATTAAAAATTTTAACGAATCGCATATCTGCATTTTTAATTTGTGAATATTTTGTCATAATCGTAGGTTTACAATGCTATTAACTTAATTGTGAAGAATTTAAACAATTTGCCTGGAAGTTTTTAAACTATAATAGAAACGAACACAATTTACTTATATAGCATAAGATACCGAACTTTTCAGACGAAAAATGTGACTAAAACAAAAATAGATCGTCAGTGTATCTTAATTAAACGTTATAGGGCTAAAACATTTTACGTTTCAAGTGAACGTAGCTTGCCCGCTTTCCTGCGTCATAATAAAGTGATAGTATAATAGTTAGATAATGTATGTATTTGATGTAATATGTTATTGAATGTATCTCTTTCAAATACAGAAAACTTGAGCACCTTTTAAGATTAATATTTTTATGAACAAAAGTGGTTACCCTCATATGGAATACAGGACAGGCACATTTCTGTGTCTGTTTTACTGAACAATTTTATTAACACGCAAGTAAATACTGTCTGTAGTTTACGTTTACACAAGTAGTACACATTTCAATAACACACCTTAACGGTTTAAAACGTGATATATGTTAGTTAAACTTATTTAGAAATTATTTTACTATGGCTCGACGTTTCGGATGCTGTGTAGCAAGTCTCCTCGTGGCCACGGCGCTTTAAAACGTTAAAGTGTTTTATTTATACGTGCAGGTAGTTTAGCAGGCTCTAAACACTGCCTAATTAAATACGTTCTTGTTTAGGGTATTTAAAATTCGAATCATATCCCTCAAGCACCACACAAACGCCGCCTTCGCGTAATTTTCGATCTTATTTTAGAATTCTTCGCAACGCATGAAATTCTGAGTTTGCATCGTTACGTGTGAGTTTCATGTCCAGTAACATTCAATAAGAACAGTTTTTAATAATTTTTATTGAAATAATGACGACAAGTCCTGTCGATAAAACTTATCGCGCAATTACATTCCTAAAATATACAACATTTTATATGGTAATACCAAAGTAATGGCGAATAAAAAAGGATCGATAAAAATCGAAATGAAATGTTGAAGTGTAATCGATTTAAATTCAATCGTAAAGACGACACCTTATCGATTGTCCACCACGAAGGGACACACACATTCAACCAGAAATTCAATTCGGACCATTCTCGTGTCACTTATTAAATACGGGACAAAGTTGGTAATGGTAATTCTGAGATAAAATTTCGTTCGTTTTCCCCGAATAATATTTGGTAATTTGTATCTTCCAGTCGCCTTCGTAGCTAAATGATTAATCGTGATGCATCGTACAGTGTGTAAGGTCGTGGGTTCGAATTCCTAGAAAAATACATTGTTTCAGTAGACCAGTAAATAAAATCCATCCGCAAAACGGACACAGAGATGTGTTCGCTCTATGTCACACAGAGGAAAAGGGGAATTCAAATCACCTTGACTGTGTTTTAGTTTTAGGAGTAAATATTTTTTTTACTTAATATAATTAGGTGTGCCAACTACATACACGCACTTTGCCAGTGGTGAAAAGTAAGGAATGTAACTATAGCAGGCTTCAGTAGGTACCAGTGGTGGTTAAAACTCTATTGCGATTAAAATAAAATATAAGACAAAAAATCCCTTTACTGCATAGATTCTGTTGTGTTATTTATGTTATTTTTCTATTGTGGTACAAGTTATCTTGCTAGTCTTTCTTTCTATCTTTTCCAGAAATTGTAACGGTTACTATTTAAAAATAATAATAATAACTATCACATTTAACCGACTCTTAAAACGTTCATATTAAATAAAACAATTTAACGGTTTAAAACGCGATATGTTAGTTAAACTTATTTGAAAATGATTTTTAACTTCGGCCCGACGTTTCGGAAGCTTTGCAGCAAGTGTCATCGTGGCCACGGCACAGGCAGCCGTGGAGTAGGAGTCTCCCCGTGACCACTTAACTAATATATCGCGTTTTAAACCGTTAAAGTGTTTTATTTAAAGGTGTACTACTCGCGTAAACTATAGACAGTATTTACATTCATATTAATTTGAAGTAGCTGAAAACAGCGAACTTTAATCTAGGTTCTACGTGTTTACGTTTATTGAATGCTGAAATAGGCATGTACTTTCTATGTCGATTTATGAATCAATTCTGTTTTCCGGCGCAAATATTTTGTTGATACTGCTAAAATGGTAGTTTTCTGAGAATTACGCTCGTTCTATTCATTAGCGTCACTATTTCCGATGACCTTCTGACCTTCTGAATGCTGAGTCCATTGAAAAATATATTACGACGTTCATTTTGTTATTTACTTACACTTACTTTACTCTTCGCTGAAGGCGATCTCTGGTAATATAGCAGGAATTTTTGATTGTAAGTTAAAATACATTTAAAAAATATAGTTAATAGTTAATAGACTTTTATCTTTCTTGTAATTTTAAATTGTATATTGGCAGCTATGTTAGTTTGACTGTCTTTCAAAGAACAAAACAAATAAACACACTTCCGTTTTTATATAAATTCCATTGTAAATTATTCTCAAGGTGCATAATTATTAACTGTGACAGACTTATCTGAAAAGGGAGTTTGTAATCTGTGATGATTACGGCCCCAGATAACTCTTAATCCCGCCGAAAATTCTCGCCACTCCAGACAGCTGCGAAATTTGAATGAGGAACATCCGCGATGTCCTATCTCCTTCCCTCGTCCCGCCCAATCGAAACCACGCCTTTTCCGCCCGCTAAATTGAATTTCGAACAATTCAAATACGCTATCCTATCCTAGTTAAGTGTTCGTGCAAATCTCATCTTTGTGCCATTGGGATAAAGTCGGGCTTTGCGTGTGTTTTACCAGCTTTATTCAGACGCTTTTGTTGTTTATACTATTGAAACGGCACATATAAAAAATTACTGATGTTAAAAATGTGCTTAACTGAACTTATGAAACGAACTTACTGTAGGTATTAGTCCACACGCGGTTTCACTTGCCCATTTAAAAATTAAATTTCTTTTAATTATTATAATGTTTAGCAAATATGACTTACGAGTTATGGTAGTGATCACTTGACGTGATGTCACCTTACTTTTGGGAGAATAATTTAATACTGGTGAGTTGGAAGTCACAAGCGGCAGCACAGAAATTTGAAAATGAAAGCTTTTCAAGAAGGGCTTTTACGGTGAAAGCTCTCATGATGCTTCCTTAGTCTTATATATCGTATTTACTACAGAGTATCTAAATATAATCAGCGAACCTTATTTGACTATTATAGGTTATTTTATTTTATTTAATGTTTTAAAATACAGATTCATAAGTATATGAGCGATTAGTTGGCTGGTAAAAAAGGCAATTTTTTTATAATATGTAATTACATTTGAAGATCGAGTTCAACGCAAGATTCGAACCTGACACATAGGCATAACTTTGGGCAGGGAATCTATCGACCACTTTTGGGTTAACATAACATTCTTCCCAACTCCGCACTGGCTATTAGAAAAAAATAAAACACCGAAGTTACTTTTTGCCTGATCCTGAAATAGAACCGTGCACTTCGTACAGTCTAGTACATTTACCACCATACCGATCCCCAGTTAATGTTGTCATTTGCTTATGACAATAGATAGAATCAAATAAATAAATGAATACCCACGAGTCCTACGAATATTGCTTATGCGCAGTACATTTGATAAGCTACGACGAATATAATATGCAAGGTGTTATTTTGATTGTTTTAAAATAGTTACCTTATCGGGAATAGCGAGCTTGGTGGTCGATATGATGTCATCAACTGTCTTTTGTTTAGACGGGAATATCATTATTATAAGCCGTTTTAAAAATACACAAACAATGAAGGACAGTACCTACATCGTTATTTTTTAACAAGTATAATGTAGTGTAGGTAGCGAGGCAAATTATTAACATCTAATTAAGAGCAGTTGTTGACTTATTTGGCTTTGGACACTAAAAATCCACAGATTTAAACCGAAATGCGGTTGGTCAACCATCAGTCGTCTGTTAAATTAGGTATATATAACAAACGACTGACGGTTGACGAACCTAATACAAGCATACCCTATTAGTTTTGGATATTGTTCCACTATTAGAATAGTTATGAACAATTTAATCAACTTATAAATTAATGTGACTGATATTGAATATTCTATTTTCAATACAAAATATTATAGCTATTCGAAAAACATGTATGCTGTTTTTCTTTGAATGAGAAGTTTATATCTAAATTTCCTATCGCTACTTTTTAGTTGTAAAATATTAACTATTCTATCTAACGTATCATCATGTAAATATCTCAAAACAGGCCTATAGCCAACTTGCACCCTTGACTGCGCATGCGCAGTTCTGTGATTCGGTAGCATGTGAGTTTTTAGCGATAATGCAATCGTCTCAATGAAATTTAAAATCAATAGCTTTGTAATAATTATGGTTATTTTCATTTTAACGTAGATCACATTATTAGATACGAAATCGACTTTCCTCGTCCTGAAAAATAGCGAGATGATCTAAAGTCAAAAGTCAAGATCAACTCGATACTTTTTAATATTTAGAAAGGAAGATCAATTTCATTTAAATAAAAAACTTTACCGGTTTAAAACGCGATATATTAGTTAAACTTATTTGGAAATGATTTTTAACTTCGGCCCGACGTTTCGGATGTTTTGCAGCACTACACACTTTTAACTAATATATCGCGTTTTAAAGCGTTAAAGTGTTTTATTTAAATGTGTACTACTCGCGTAAACTATTGACAGTATTTAAGATCAATTTCAAGTCAAAAGTCTATATGTACACAAAAAAAAATATGAATATAGGTATTAATTTTTCTATTCTGATACACACAATTGTTTTATACAGACAATCAATGTATTTGTTCGATGCATAGATCATATTAAGACGTCGCCTAGTTGTAATATTATAGCCCGATTCCCGATGCATTACTCAGAATTGTTCATGTTTCATAAAAGGCAGCGTTTGCTGAGTCCGGTGCAACGCAACTCGGTCGGTCCCTTTCTTCTATTTAATATTATTTATTGCGCGCGCGTTGTTTATTAGAAATACTAAACTCATTTGACACTCTGCGACGTATAGAAAGTTTATAAGAATGACAAGTGTATTTATGAGAAACGGCGCAAATAGTTACATAGATTGATGGTCGATATTTATTTAAATAAAACACAAAACGGTTTAACGTTATACGAGACATTGAAAATTGTTTTATTTATATCGAATCTGTTGTGATTTACTCTCTTTTAAAAAACTAAACGAGTCTTTGATTTACAATAATCACACAAAGATGCTTTCAATAGATATTTAACAAATTTTTCATTAGTAGGAAAAATTTAAACTGCTTAGACGCACATTCAGAAATCAAATCTGAATTGAAATTGATTACAATTCTGTGCTCCGCCTGACCGAAGCAATCTATTGTTTCCTCAAGATTCGAACCCAGGACCTCTCTCGCCTAACTCAATGCTAGGCCAAACGTTTTAGCATTTGGCTACAGAGGTCTAAACGAGTTATATAAAAATTTTACTGTGAGGAGATTAAATTAATTTTATATCATTTTGTTGGCCCCTTCATCCTTTTATCGACTCAAATAGAGCACAAATGGCTGATCTCAGCGCACGCGCATTAAATCACACAGAAAATATTTCAAATTCATCCGACTAATTCAAACCTAATCCAAGTTAAATCTAGACCGTTTTTATGAGCGCATCGAGATAAATGGGACAAAAAGTGAAAAGAATGAGATGGGGTGATAGGGACGTTGAAAGGCTCTGATTTTTATCTCTTACACATTTCGGGGACCCTGGTACATTGTATGAATTTGTAATTATTGTTATTTATTGATAATGTATGCGAGAGGATTGGAGGCCCACGAGGAATCGAATCCAATGCCTCTGGCATTCAATGCACTAACTAATAACTAAAGCACTATAGTGTGGATGAATCTTTCGTAGTCCATTTTAGTTTCTGATTACTAAAATGAATAAATCAATCAAATGCCAAATCGTCGTCCACTTCGACATTGTTTCTGATTAATAAAATTAATTTAAAACTTAAACTAAATTAAGTTTAAACGAGTGTTAATCATTAAATACACAACGCAACGCTTTATGATTTTAAACTAAGACTAACCAACTACTTGCCTTTAAAAGAACCGGTCAGTGAAACGGACACAGAAATGTGTTCGTACAGGGGGAAACGGGATTTAATTTTTTTGTTCTAAGAAGACTCTAACTACTGTAATAAAGTGTGACTCTAAGTAACTGTAATAAAAACTCTATTAATAGTAGTTTTTGTTGTATAACAAGGTTTAATTTAAAAATAAATTAAATGTAATGGCGTTTGAGCAATGAATTTAAATGTATAGTTAATTACCAATTAGGAACAAACTTAAAAGAATTGTGCTACAAATACTTTAACACATTATCTAGAAACACCAAAAATATCGTATGAAAAAAACCAAACGATCGTTATTTAGCACAAACCGACCGACACGCGCCTTTTTATTTCAGTATTCGTGCTCACAACACCCGCATTGTACTGCGCAGGCGATTCCGAGAATTATTTCGTCGGAGAGAGATAACTCTATCGTTCCCGCCGCTGGCTAGAGGGAGATGGGGGATTATTTTGTTTTTTTTTTCTCGTTAATCTGTGGCCACATGTGGATTGTTCTTGGACCTTATGGTCATTTGATGTCTCGTTCGTTTTGTCGCGTTTTTATACTGGTTAGTGAACTTAGTGTTATTTTAATTGATACGTTCGTATGGGATTTTGAAAGATTCAAAATTGATTGATGAATTGCGGACACGGACGCAGTTACAATAAAAAAATAATTTAAAAGAAAACGTCTACGCATAAGCACAGTTGACATAAATAAGCACAAATGACGACGTAACCTATAGCGAGCTAAGCTGTTGAACAAAAATTTCAGGGCCTTTCACGCTACTTTTCTAGGCAAGGTGAATTTTTGAGCCACAGAGGCGGCAAGTTCAAATATCTGTGATGTTACTTAAAATAAGTTTTTTTTAAATATTGGCGACATTTATTGCAGTAATTTCATAAATTGTTTTGTGCACATTTTACCAATATTTTATTTGTTAACTCTGAGAATTCCATATTTTAAAAGTACCTACGCCATCCACCAACAGAAGCTTCGCCACCCATACCCGAGCCTAATTAAACAAAGATAGTGCAAAACCAACAAAAACTCAACCGCACGTAGTCTTTGCCTACCGAGCCGTGTATTCCGCGAATTCTTATGCGTAGTTTTAAGCCTTAAACCCTGGCGCGTCGGGATTACTTAGCCTAGTCGACCATGGGCTGGACTCTAGGGATGTGCTGGTTGATCGATAGAAATCAGTGATCGATAATTTCGGGATGAACGCGGATAGCGCAATATCCTCTTGACATATCTGCCACAAACATAAAACTTTCTCTCTTTCTTTGTGTTGCGGCTGTAAGGATTATCTTTTAGTTCCAACTGTTTATTATATGTAAGAAACATACTTTTTCCATTATCTATCAGTTTTTATGGGAAGCTATTTGTTGTAATTTCTTCCAGAAAGTTTTGTTAGAGATTTTAAATTATCCTTTATTATCTTATTACACTCGCTGTTTACGGTTTACACTTAACAAAAATTTACAACTAACTGTTATTGTATTTATAAATGCTTATGTCAAAAACATATTCCATTGTGACTTAAAAATCGATAATTATTACCATCGAGCACATCTCTATTTTGCTGTAAAAAAGGACATTGCACACTTCACTAATAAAAGGTTAAATACGTCGAAGACGTCATTTTCTCTGATATAAAATTTCATCCTGAGTGGTTTAGCTGCTGGTAAAAATAAATTAATAAGTGAACCCTTTGTGTGGCAAATTTTTAAAAGTTTTTTTTATTAATCGACATAAAAAAATCGTCTTCTATTAACGGTATAGAAAATAAGTAATATGTAATAAGTCAACTATTGGTGAAAGAGGTCTCGCTTAGCCCGAAAATAAAACCTTCCCAAATTGGATATTATGGTCTTATAAAATACCTCATTTGTGAAGCTTAACTGTTTTTCCAGTTAAACAAATTTAATCTGTAACTTCTGTATAGTTTTAATTGTCGTAGTATACGAATGACCAAAAGACATGCAATTGACTTGTGCATATTACACTCTCTTCACCCACCTGAACATTACAAATTTTGTAATCAACGGCCACCGTTGGATCACTTTAGCCAGTATAGATAAAAGAAATAGTTCGAATAAAAAAATTAATATCTTAGATCGAGATACAACGACGCTACAGTCGGTATGCGGGTACTTACCTACTTGTAATTTACTATAATTTTATGTATTTTACTGTAATAAATAACTTGAAATTTTTGACCGTTATAAAGAGTGCTGTTATATGAAGTGTTTATATTTAACTTTACAATCCACATAGGATTGTAAAGTAAACCAACCAAACTATAATATTTCTAAGTTAACTTAACTTAGAATACTCGAATTTGAAAAAATGCAAGAACATTAGTTGGCTTTCGCTATCATTTTAAATTCGTAGGTTGGCTAAGGCCTGAAATTCCGACGGCCTCGTTGGTGGACATATAGCAATGTACGTAATCATCATCATCAACACATTTCTAATCATTTTATTAAATAGGTAGGAATATCGAAATTCCGTCCGGGGCGCGAACCACTACAGATAAAAAAAGTTGTAAAGTTTAATGGCGTTTGTCGATTGCCGAATTTCCAAACCCAAAATACTATTTAACCTTCTACGTGGTGAACACCATGCTTGTCTGTCGTCCTCTATCTTGAAAATAAATTAAAACAGATCTAGGACGTTAAATAAATGCATAAATGTAAGTAAATCCAGTTTAAAAGTATACACAAAATAGTTTAAGAGTTAAAACAACAGGATTGTTCCGCGGAATGCACGGCTCGGCTGGCAAAGATGCGCGGCTTAACTCTGTTTATTTTGCACTATCTTTGTGTAATTAGGCTCAGGTTTGAGGCTTCTGTTAACTCATAGTAAGGCTTAGTAAATACCATAAAATATGGCTTTGAAACCTATGACTATGAATATTCAATATATAATAACTTAATAATTATTCTACATAGTTTGGGAAAATTAAAAATATTATTGCGCATAAAAGCTTTTTGTATTAATTAAAACCTTTCTTAAAATTAATAAGTTTCCTTTTTTAATAAAATCTCTAACGGTTTAAAACGCGATATATTTTAGTTAAACTTGTTTGAAAATTATTTTTAACTACGGCCGACGTTTCGGATGCTTTGCAGCAGCCGTGGTCACGGGGAGACGTTTGTCTCCCTTTGACCACTGTGTACTACTCGCGTAAACTACACACAGTATTTAGGTTTTGGTTCTCTCCACCAACAGAACTGTCGAATTTGTTAAATTAATCAATTTATACACGAATCTCTCATTGTAGAAGTGGGCTCGTGTTCCGATTGCGACGTTAAATTTTTATTTTCAATCTAAATAAATAATAATAAAAAAATATTACAAATGCTACAGATTAAAAATATATATCTAAAGTAAGTATCACTATGATCTCTTACGTAAAAGCTACCCTTAAATACAAGGAGACCATTTTTTTATCAATTTATTATTATATCCTTTTATATGTATTTATAAATTAATAAATAAACTGCATGTTTAATGCCATATTGTCAAGCTGACGTGTTTTAACTGGACACTAAAAATAGCAAAGCCAAAAGTATAAAAATGGCATAAATGTACAACAATGTTGCCCGCTTAATGTTTTTAAAACAATCGTGTTTTAGTTTTTTAGTACGATCTGCCGTTTGCCGAATACCAGCCAGTGTATTTGTAAAACATGAGTTACGCTAAAAGTTATTTATTCTGTACCGGAAATAATGTTTCAGAATGGTTTTTTATCTGTGATACATTTTAAAATTAATTTAGGACAGCACTGCTTGCTTTTAAATAAACAATTACCTACGCCGAGGGTCATTATTTTGAGACCCGCCGTTGTAAATTAATTAAGTGTAAAAATAATTATGATCTAGAATTGTAAAAAATATTTTGAATTTATATGTCTTTTTTACATTTTTAGTATTAAGTGATCTGACACAAGAAATATTGCTGATTCAGGAAAGATAAATTCAACAAAGATGGGATCCATGCAGGCAATTAAAATATAGTTATGGATATGTGCTTCCTTAGAAATCACTTTTTAATTTACAGTTAATATCGAGTATTTATAACATTAAAAGAGTAACACGTCAATTGTAAAGCGTAGGTACTACGTCGGGCGGCGGGAACTAAGAAAGTATTTTAATTAATTTAATCCTATTAAAATATTAATCAAAACTAAAATATAGTTTAAAAAATCTCTATTCATATACATAGCTATACATTCAAGCTATACCTTTAGGTATATTTTTGGTTGCGTTAATTCCGTTTATTATGTATCTGTTATTATGTATCTGTAAACTTTTATAATCTGTAGTCTGTATGATCATATTTATGCCATCGTAAAAAAGTAAAAAGAAAATAAAGAAATATTATCTTCTTTCTTTTGTTCTAATCATTGCGTGGCAGTAACGAAATCTTTTCTTCGACACATAGCCGTTCAGAGACGGCAATCACTTTCCTTTTGGTTCTAACAAAAATAATGTATCTATCTTTCTTCGTCGCAAAGTTATTGGTTTTGTTGCGTAAAATTTTAGTATAACTAAATAATTTAACAGTGGTTTTATTATGTTCCTCGTGTCATAAGTTAAATTAAAATTCACATTTCCTTCTTTATTTTTAAGAAGATTTTCTAATAAGACTTTAAAGTGGTGGTCTTTATAATATAACGTACCAAATATCCATAAATGGTAAAAGAAGTGATCTACTCCTCAATGTTATTCCTCGTTTAAATAAGACATTTTCAACCGTTTAAAAACCAATTATTTGAGGCAACTGATATTTAACTACGGCCCCCTCACCACGACTGCTGCAAAGCATCCGAAACAAGGGATCATGGTTTAAAATAAATAATATAATAAAAGTGTTATAATAAACAGATCTTTGTTTAAGTATTTTTATGCTATATGTAAAAAATCTACTTTATCGGTTTGAAAGTTTATTGTGGAATAATATATACATTTGTATTTAAATGTTTACCTCAATTCTTAACGTCTGCATTCCCGCATTCGTATAATTAATATCTCATTGATTGCAACCATCGCATGCATTAAAAAACATGCCAGAGTTCCACACCAGTCCAATTTCACCACACTTACCTAAAACTTACAGCGAACCAAAAAATTTAACACAAACATCACACTCACTATGAAATATAATAGCCGCGTCTTAAACCTGATCCGACATTTAATTCTTACGATAGTAACGTAAAAAAATCGTCAACAATCAAACTAACAAAGCGTCCCGTAGCTATCCGAAGCTGTACTGAAATTCTAAACCCTGACTCTGGTGTCCATGTCCAGCACCCCCCATTACTAAATTTCGTGTCGATTGTGATACGTCGTAACTGCGCATTGCATCAAACAACATTCATCTTTATCACAACTGGATAAAATCAATTTTTCAATAACACATATTAGTGATTGGTACTTTTATGAAAGGAAGGAGCCCGCTACAAGGCTATGAGAACGTATAATTTAAAGACGTAGCTTCGTTACGAAGTGGCGCAATATAACTATCTCACTCGCACCCGTTTAAGAGGCGGTTCTAGTATACAGATTGCAATACGCGATTGCTCATTTTTTTATATTCTGTATTGAATTACGTATTATTTTGTGAATTAGATTGTACAGTAGTGTCATATTTTATACCTACCTGATGTGATGAAGCAAGGAAGCAGGTTGATAGTCTTGGTATTAAATGGGACATAGAATAAATAATTTATTGTCTAATTAAATACAAAAATTAGGGTAACTATCACTTATTTTCTCTTTTCTTTGGGAACTTTAAAGCATTTTATTTTGAAGTGATCGCACATTTGACGAACCTGTAAAAATAAATTACGGTTATAATCAATATTACAGCTTTTAAATAAAACACTTTAACGGTTTAAAACGCGATATATTAGTTAAACTTATTCAAAAATGATTGTTAACTTGGCGCCGACGTGTCGGATGCTTCTTAGCAGCCGTGGTCACGGGGAGACGTCGGACTGAAGTTAAAAACCGTTTTAAACCGTTAAGTGTTTTATTTAAATGTGTATTACTCGCGTAAACTATAGACAGTATTTAATATTACAGCTACTCAATATGACTTTATAAAATCAATATTAGAAAAACTATTACAAAATATAATGTAAAACAACTCGCTTAAGATTTCCCTGTTGCTGTTTTATTTTTAAATATAACAAACAAAGTTAATAATTTGTTTTATTTGGGTTTTTCTTCCACAGCAAAATTTTGAAGATAGAGCTTTCATTAGATACCTAAGTAAAGCTTTAAATTCCCGTCGGAGCTTTTCAAGAATTAGATACGTCAAAAACAAAAAACCCTTAACTGTTAGTTATAATTGTATAATGTTGTACCTGAATGTCGTAATTCGCAGTAAGTTTTTTTAGTCCGTATAAAAGAATAGGTAAAATATTATTCATATACAAACTCTATGGACATCATTATAACGTTATCGAAGAAACTTTAAAACTTGTATGTTTGAATTAAAAATATAAGGAAATATTGTTGCTCTTACCACACAAACACCATAATGTAAATGAACAGCTATTGCAAAAGCTGTCAGTAGATACAGCATGGCAAGTTCATGTTGTGGGGCATATAACGCCAACCCTACACCTGCTATCACGGGCACGTTTATCCAGCATACTGAATCGCAGCGCTGATGACTCATCTCGGCAACTATCAGACGACTCTGCAAAATACCATTACTATTTAAGTCTCCTACCATTATCAACGTTTACAGCAGTACAGCTATGATCGACGAATTTGATCAAATTTATTTATTTATTTATTACATTATAAAAATATGTAACACTATTAAAGAATTATGATTTTTGACGACAGATTATTGTTTTTCATTGTTCACAGATAGTTAATTACTAATCTATATATTTTAGAGTGGGGCTATATGCCTTATGTAAATATAAAAGTTAAACTCAACATGTAACTTTTGTTTTAAACCATGATTTAACTTATGTTTCTAAGTTAAATCTTGGTTTAAAACTGTATAATATATAAACGTAGGCTAAGTACGTAGTACACAATAAATAATACTGAGATATTTAAAGCGAGAAAGTGTTATAGTTAATTTATTGTTAGTCGTTTAAATTAATATATTATTTCAAAATTCAAAACGGTTAACTATTTGTTAGCAATACAATTACAAAGAAATTTTCTCTTAGTTCTTACCGCAATATTACTGAACAGAGTTCCAAATAGAAGCAAGAACGCTCGTATGTCCCGTTCCATGACAGTGTTGGGAGACACGAGACACCACGACGTCATCGTTCCCAGCATTATCAGCATGGGCCAGATGGGTCTGAGCGCGTCGAAGATGGGGTACATTCGACCGGTACGGTTCTTGTAGGATCTAGAATTATCGGAGACATATGCATCACAGCACAGTCACGACCCTCAAGATTGAGGAATACGACTCAAGGAGGATGCATCACAGCAGAATCGGAAAACATCTATTTGACAGCCCAATAAAGGATAAGAGGAAAGGAAACACCAACTTCAAAGCTGAAAATGTTTACAACCTATCTTGTTTAGATATTATAAGGCTATGGTATTTCACCTTCGGACTACCTTACTGTCATAAAATAATTTGTTTTACGTTACGTTTAGGATCCAGAAATCAAAATGGAAGCTATTAGGTATTAGAGCTCCATACTTTATTAAATGATAAGAAAATGGTAAATGTTTTTGACGTATAGAAAAATATTGCACATGTATGTGTGTTGTGTGTAGTTACATCAAAAGTCAAGCATATTTTACGTTATTAACGATTTGTTTTCACATAAGTAGGTATGCACCATAATTTTAATAGCATTATTTAATGTAAACTCTCACCTCTTTATCTCATTTACCCATTGGTGTTTTGTTCTTTTCCTATACACATAAAAAAACCCCTCAAACTATATGTAGTAATCTTGATCGGGGTGAAACGGAGGGACCCATTTTTCATTTAGCCAAATAATACAAGTTACCTATGAGAAAAATCACAGGCGCTTCGACATTGCTGCTGGACATAAGCAAAACGTTATATTTAAAACCGAATATACTTACAAGTAAACATTGTAGATAGCAACTGGGAGGGTTGTAAAGAGGCCGGTTGTGTGTATGGCTATTTCCAGACCCTGAACGAATGTAATTTCGCCGAAGACATAGGTTTTGTACACTTCAGGTCCCTTAACGCCTGCCACAAGGAACATTATACTGGCCACCTGTCACAAAACTATATTTTAATTATTAATTCTATAAAAGACAATTGTTACACCTAAAAGAGTAAACATTAATAGTCTACAGCTTACGCGAGTAGTAGGTAGTACATATTAAATGAAAAAATACGGTTTAAAACGTGTAAATAATTCAAATATATTACTTTTCACTACGACCCGACCTTCAGGGTGAGCCGGGCTCAAGGAGGTTTGAGAGATGCCTATAACAAAACCTACTATATAGCATCGAATACGAAGGATCGTAGTTACAATTGAAGTAACTAATCAATTTCATATGTGGCGTGGGCGCAACACATTTATTATCCGTTTCACTGATCGATTTTATTTTCAGTCAAATAGCTATTCGAACAAACTGACTTTTGTACCCTAATTGGGCGAAACAATTTTTTTTCCGGGATTTCAACTCAGGACCTCCTGTTGCTTAACGCAATGTAGGAAATGTTTCTATTTCTCCATTTAGGTAAAGAAACATAATAAATACCTAGATACACATTGCAGCTCCGCAAGGATGATTTAATCAACTGTCTGTAAATATATGTAAAAATGTGCCTGTGTCTGTCATCATCATGATCATCAGCGTAAGGATAAAAATTAGATTATCCGAATAAAACGTAATCAAAATAGGACCGAGTTCCATATTCGGTTAGTCGTTGGTTCGAGAACAGCCAGTGTAAAATATATTTAGACCTGATGATTATTAATAGAGTTACGTACGTAGGAATAATATTACATAACTTACCCACATGCTAAGATCGTATCCCCATGGAAGGTACAAAGTCCCAGTATTGTACTTCTCCCAATGACTCACATAGAAGTTGAGGACCACACTTACAATCACCAAATATCCTCTGAAATTTTTCGACCATTATTTTAACTGTAAATGGTTATAACATATTTCATATTATTCTCTCTTCGACCGTCCACAAATGAAAAAGCCGTGAAGTTTAATCGCATTTCGGCTTCAGTCTGTGGATTTCAGATTATTCAAAGCCGCTCAAAAATAGGTCTACAGGCTGGGGTATTCACACATAATTCATAAAAAAATAATCGAAATATTTTAGATCATATGCTTCCAGCATACAAGCTTACAGATAAGTCGGGTCAAACTGTAAAAAATATAAATCAAATTCCTGAAATGGTTTAATTCGTCATAGTCAGTTATATAATCTGAAAATTGACTTACTATTATTAAAATTTTAATTACTTACCTAAATTCTGGTATTGAAAACTGATCCCTCCCAAATACTGAGAAGAGACAGAAGGGTATGAGGAAGACAATGTAGGAGTCAATTCCGTGGTCAAACATTTCGCCCAGTGGACCGGAGACACCTATACGTCTGGCTTGCTTGCCATCGATGCCATCTAAAACCATAATAGGTGCACTAAATGATATTATTGTACTTCAATGTATGTGAACAGGGTTTTTTTATTCACTTTATTTTTAATCACACAATGGAATTTAGTAAATATTATAAATTTAAGTGTTTAAAACAGGAAACATTCTAATCCGAATATCCAAAGCCAAAAATATAGATTGACAGCGCATCGTGTTTAGATGTTATATGGCTGGGTTATTTCATCTCCCGTCAATTCATGCTTGTCTGTCACATTTATATAAAAAAAATAATCTAAGCCCGTCTGTTAACGCAATCGGAAAGTTTTGTCGTAATTATAAATAAAAAAAACCCTTTATCTGTTGTTTACGCGAGTAAAAAAAAATATAACTAACTTATTTTATTATTTAGTGCTTAATAATATTGTCTTAAATTAGTTGGTCACGGAACGCTGTTCATCTGCCTGCTCGTAAGCTTCGTGTAGTAGTTAGATTAAATTAAAAATAGGTTACTATTATTATATCGCGTTTTAAACACTTAAAAATGTTTTACAAAAAGTGTTATACTGGAGTGAAATACAAATCCAATAATCCAATACAGTGATTCTGTACCCTGGTGGGTTTAGGTCCTTAGAATTACCTCTATTTTCTATTTTTTATGCTCATGGCGGGATAGTTACCTAAATGATAAGCTAAGAAGACAAGCACCCCACACACTGTGAAGATATATCTGGGTATACCACGACCCTGTATGCTGGATGCTGTGCAGTCGTAATCGTATACGCTCAGGAGGATCACATTCACCAACATGCACAGGAACCCAGCAAAAGTGAGGAGGTTGGGAGCTACCCATTTGGGAACTATCTGTAATTTGGAATATTTCGTTTTCATTAACCAGGGAGAAAGTTACCAGAAACTCAGAAATTTGCAGATATCTCTTACGTACGATGTCTTAATGTTTATTGTATATTTTTTAATTTTTAGTTCAGATGGCATTGGAAAAACATGGAAAGATTAGTCGGAAAAATATTTTTATTGTGCGGGGTAAAAACATTTCATTGTATTTACACACTGAAGTGGTATTACTACTTTTCTAAGTAGATTACTTATAATATCAAATGTACCTTCACAAGAGCGTTCCATGTCGGATGCATAACATATTTGCTAAGCGGACTAGTGTCGATTGCACTGTACTGAAAAAATATAACATTTAAAAAAATACTTGTTATAGTGTGGGTAGTTATATAAAATGTTATAAATATATTCATTACGTTTAACAATAAGTAAATACAGGTAGCTAAATTGGTTGAACAACAGCTCGTGTGCGACCGTGGGTTCAAGGTTCGCCTGTATACATTTATACCTATTACCAAAACCTCTTTTTTGTAATATGTTTGATTGTGTAAGTAGTTTTACATAATAATAAATACTGACACAAACATAATCTGGATATGATCTACAGCAACAACTTCTATCATCTGACCTAATAATTGTGACAAGATAACAACAAATCATAGATCGATAAATTTTGCACTGGCTTAAAATTTAAAATCATTTATTCTATATCTTATCTTAACATATTTACTTTTTATATGTATTTATTTACAATGATACAAGTCGTCTATTTAAACCGAAATACATTCCTATATTGCGAAGAAATTCTTGTTGTAAATACAATTTAATAATAATAATAAATTCATAGTATCGGCTGATTATTATCAACTTTTTAACAGTATCCTCTGCTAGGATACAAGTCTCCTGAGAAGCTATGCTGGCTTAGTATATACCTATGTCAGGCGGTTGCGGGTGCCAGACAAACAGCTTTTATTATTATAACATTTTATTCAAAAGTAATAAATATCTATACATTTTCAATTACTATTAATTTTAAAAATATCAGCCTTACTATAGTATATAATTAATAATATAGCAAGTAATAACAACTTACCTTATAGTTTTTGAATCCCTTCAAATGTTTGTCACTTAAATATTTAAAATCGAACATTTTACTCTGCCACCACTATTGTAACTGACAAATGTAATTACTTAAATATTTTTTTTACTTAATACACGATTTTAACCTTAGTTTTTGCTCTATTCTTATTTTTTGTACATAACACTAGTTAGAGCGTGACTACTGATTTTGATAAGCGTTATCATTGAACGATAATAGTGTGTGCAATGTAATTATTATGTTATCAATATTAATACAGACAATCCTAAAGCAATACTAATAAAATATCAATTTATAATTTTTACTTGCTTTAAAAAAGGTGCGATGTCAATTGTTCCTTTTTGAAGTAGGCTTTAGATGTTTTGAATTTTTTAACCCGAATATTTTGTTTCAAACTATCGTATTTCAAACGGTGGTGCCATTTTAAATATGATAAATTGCGATAGATACCTACTATAAACCTTATATTTATTGTACCAAATATAATTTTGGTATATTAAAAAAATGTCAAAACTCTACAACATATACATACGGACTATTTTTCTTACTTTTTCTACAACATATAATTAATAACAGATCTATTTTACTTAATTTTGATTTTAGTTTATAAAATTTTCTTACTTGTTTGTAGTTATCTGGTATAAGCAGGTGTTACGGACTAAGATTAAATGTAAGTATGTGTAGGAAAATAGACGTAACACTGTTGTCTCATATTAAAGAGAGATACAAAATATAAGTTAATCCGTAAGATATTTGAATGGCTGTAAAGTCTTCTCTTTATCTGCTAAAAGATGAAACAAGTGATTCATTCAAAACGATAATATCTCAAAATTACGCGCTGCATTGTCACACGTTACTCATGAGGTCATGTCTCATACAATAATATCCTTACCTCTTACAAACTTATTAAACTCTAGTAAGTACATTTTTTATGTATATGCACAATTGTCGAAATAAAGATCATAAATTAAAATTAATTTATTTTATCACGAGAGAAACATTAATATTTCAATAAAACACTTTATCGGTTTAAAACGCGATATATTAGTAATATATATATATATATATATATATTACTAATATATTAGATATTTTTTTTTTTTTTTTTTTTATTTATCATATCATCATAACAATACATTTATTTATATATTGATAGCAATAAAAAACCACTAAGGTTTAAATATGCCATCTAGTTTACTTAACATCTAATTAGCTAAGTTTATTTAATAAATATACAAATAACTACAATCTACTATATACATATATATATATATATATATATATATATAATTAGTAATATATATATATATATATATATATTACTAATATATTAGTATATTTTTTTTTTTTTTTTTTTTTTTTTTATTTATCATATCATCATAACAATACATTTATTTATATATTGATAGCAATAAAAAACCACTAAGGTTTAAACTGATGCCATCGTGAGTTTACTTAACATCTAATTAGCTAAGTTTATTTAATAAATATACAAGATAACTAGCAATCTACTATATATATATATATATATATATATATATATATATATATATATATATATATACTAATATATCGCGTTTTAAACCGTTAAAGTGTTTTATTTAAATGTGTACTACTCACGTAAACTATAGACAGTATTGCATTTATATTGCTATTTAATTTAAATCAGCGCGAATTTAGAGCATAGAAAAATTAAAACACTATTAATAGTTCTCTTTCATTTATATTTAACATTAAATAAATATGGTTACTTCGCATATACTGGAACTTCGGCATAGGGTTCAATAGAAAATATTATTAGGTGGTTGTTTGCCACCTAGAAAAGCTACAAATCTAGATATTTATTTAGTTACTATAATATGAAAATAAACTTTTGAGCAGAGCCGTCGTACGTTACTTAAATGTTACGTTTTATGTATCTCTGCGTGTATTTTATTGATTGGTGGAACAAACAAGAATCGTACTTCGGTCTAATTTTGATTCAGGCCCTCCCCCCTATTATATGTACTGATGTTCACCTAAAATTGGTGAAACCTAGCAAAACCTCGTTGATCGAAGCCGTTAATTGAGTGCAATGGTGCAGTGTGCAATTAAATATTAATTGTGTCCCGCGCTACTGTGACAAATGGCGGGCTGCGACAGCTGTTAATTTGACACACTGAATATGTGGTACAGAGCAATGATGTCCAGAGATACGTGTACAAAAGTTTTGTATTAAAAGTTTATCTTTAGCCTGCGATGGCTCCTGTAGGCTATGTGAGCTCTGGGTTCCAGTCTCGGGAAAAAGATAAATTGTTTTATTCGGGCGAAATATGCTTAACCTGTGCCTCAGAGGCAGAAACAGAATTTAATTTTTTAAATTTGAATTAGATTCACTTCAAATTAAATTAGTTACGATTGCATTTATTTTAAAAAATGCGAATATTAATATCTTAGTAACAGGTCATAGTTATAATAATCTTTAACATAAAAGTATATATTGAGTTTTGAAGCAATGTACTTTGATTACTTAAATATGCATACTGTACTATGTCGTTTGTAAACAGATTAAAGTAAGACAACGAAAATATGGAAAGCAGGAAAGAATTTATTAAATGTTTTTTGTGAGGCCTTTGTTGAAGGACAAGACTACTAATAGTATATAAAAAGACTTATTTTATTTAAGTTTTGTTAAATATTACGAACTAACATTGCCTTTGAATGTGCTGAATTGCTCTGTGTCCCTGATCTACATAAATGCTCAATTGAACTCGCTGTTTTCAATTTGCATGAGGTAAAATACGTAATATATTGGTGTTTACATTAATAGGTATTGTTTTACCACTGAGTACTTGCGGAAGAGTAATTAATTAACAGTTATTATTTGGGGTGGCCATGTTTAAATTAGCGTAGATTAGTAATTTAACTCTTATTTCTACAATTTATATGAATACATGTGAAATTAAAACGGGAAATCTCTAGCATACGATTATTTCTTTAAAAAGCTTGTATGATATATTTACTAGTAGTTATCTATGAAGGCTTTTTACATTTAATTTCTTTGCATATCAAGATGCTGGGGTCCCGAGCAGTCTACTTAGCGATTTCAATTAGTCCGTCACCAATTAAAACTCCCGTTTATTTTTAACAGGCATCCCTCGGAAATTAGAGATAATTTGGCGCGCACGCGGCTGGCAACACAGACATTATCGGTGCGGTTCGAATTTCAAATTACGCGCCGGTGTCGGGTGGCGCCCTCCACGTCGCGTGGCAACGCAGGTGTATCGATCTTTACCTTCCCGTGAGGATGAGCGTATTAATTTTGTATCTCTGAGTGAGTACCTTTTGTTATAACTGTTTTGAACTACTAGTCCCCTAGTAGATATTGATAACAAAGTACCTATCTATCTCTAGTCAATTTTCATCTTCAACCACAATTACATGTATCCTCAATTTGTTTTTCGCTTTCTTTATTTATGATCTGCAAAGATCATTTTCATACAAGTTTCATTTTTGATTGAGTCAAAAATATCAAAGCTGAGAAGTTATAAGTTGTCACGTCTTACATATATATGTATTTTTAATTTTTTAATATAGTAAAAATATAAATACATTCCAAACAGCTGTTGATAGCTTAGCTTAGATTTTGTTTTTAGCCAAAATTTCTTATTTCTGTTGGGTTTATAATAAATAAACACGTCAAAAGAAGGGCGTTTAGAAAAAAAATATAACTTCATTGTGTTAACAAGTAGCTAGACTTAGACTAAACTTTTTTATAAATCTATAAGTCTTAATATAATTGACGTTTCCGTAATTATTTATTAACATTAAAAAGTGCCATTTAAAAGAAGTTTGTTTTGAAGGATCCGTCTGGTCCCTTTAGTTTTGATTTGAACCATTTGTCGGAATACAATTTGTTCATCCGTCTAGCCCATTGACTGGATACAACCCTAATGGACAAGATATAAAGATTAATATGTCTAGAACTAGATGATGCTGGTCCTACGCTATAAGAGTACCAGGAGAGCAGTTGGGTAAAGGAAGTCTAAATAGGTGTGAGACTCAGACCATCCGGCCAGACTTGCTAATGGCTGGCGCTTGGTCTTAGTTATAAGCAGAGGCGACAAAATATATACTGAACTATCCATTACTTTTGCCAATATTTTTGTAATTATGTAAAAAAGTATAAATACAAGGACAAAAGCAACTAACTCGCTAATAATACATACTAATAATACATTATAAAAGGTATTAATAATCCAACATTCATTAGCTATCATATTATCCCTTTTGTTATTTTGCTAGTGGGTGTACATAAGCACCATTGAAATTTAAATTTAATAAAGTTTCTATTGCTTACAACGTTAAAACAAAAGACATACATTTCAGATGAACAGCGTTTTTGGAAGGCTAGCGCTACCGCTCATAACTTGCATGAGCGCTATTAATCGCTCCAGTTGATGATGAGCCGGCTAGACGTGGCCACAGACGGTCACGCGCAATGCAAATGGATACGGCCTTACTTGTTTTAATTTAAACTAATGTGTCTAACTCATGCATAATCAAAGACGTTAACTATCCTTATAGTATGTTGTAAATGCGGGCTATATTTATAATATCACGAATAAGTTCCTGGATGTGTTTGCTTCAAGTATTAAAATAGCTTTAGGTAGTACAAACGTATTTTCATTACCTACCGGGTCAAAGAAGAGAGGGGTGTAGCACGATTTACCATATTTCCCAACTAATCAAACCCAGGGTTTCTAGATGTAAAAAGGCATACACTCTTTGACTGTGCCTATGATGAGAACAAGTGCGTACTATGCATGCAAACGCTGTCTAAAATAAGCCGATATCCTTCCGATCCTTCACCGTAAAAAATTTAATTAATATTTTTTTTCATTTATAAGCTAATTATATTGTTAACTATGATCACACAATCTTCAGTCACACGAGAGGTAATGGACTAAATATAGCGGAAGGAAGGTTTCCAACATTCGTTTAAAAAAATTATTAACTAATGTAGATCAAGATTTTTTTCAGTTAAATTATAAATAGAGATAAATATAACA